AATCTCCTAGAATATGTTTGGGTGACTTATTGTAAGATACTCACAGGTGACCCATTTTACATTGGAAATAGACTAGACTTCACTTGAAAATTAATAGAAAAATTTCATAAAGTAAAATAAAAACTATTCAGTAGACTCAGTATATGACCTTCTGTAGGTTCTCCCAAAGACTCCTCTAAAGAGAAAAGAATGAAAATTTCTGAAAATTTCCGTAGAAATATACGCGGATTTCATTTTTATATGGTTAAACAATAGAAAGTAATAGATCCTCCTCTTCAGTGCATCTTTTTTTATCATGGACTATTTGTTTCTTGCCATTTTTGATAACTTTCTAGTGTTCAGAGCCACTAGACTATTTTTTTACTATACCTGTGTATTTTAGTCGGTTTCTTCAGATCTCTGCGAACTGTTTTGAACTCAATTACTTTAGAATCTATGTATAATCACCAGAATCTCCTATGTACGCATTAGTTCGTTTTCAGTCGAAGGTTAATAAAATATTCCTGTTCAGCATTCACTTAAACTGAGGATTCTTTATAACCAAGTCTCTTATTCATAAAATCAATAGCTGTGTAGTAGAATGCTAAGAATATAAGCACTTATAAAATATATAGAAATCCACAAAAACAGTTGTTAGTATTATTATTTAAACTTCTGAAAACAGATTTTTAAATTTTTATTCAAAATTAGAAGAAAATAGTTAGCAACGAGCATGTCTGTTTTGAAGAAGAAAGACGGGCCTCAAGGTTATAATAAATTTTATTAGTCAGTGTTTCTTTAAAGTACTTGCTAAAAACATCTTAACGAAAATAAAACCTCAAGTTTTTTTTTACAGAACAAGAAAACAATCCGATGATATAAGAAAACTACCCCATCTCATCTAATGGAATTGAAAAGAACAGGATCATTTCATCTCATTCTAAGCTTCTTTTTAAAAATTAACCAGGCATCTGCTGACCAGGTATCTTAGGAGATTAGACTTTTTCAAAGCGATGCGTTTGATAAAAATCCTGATTTTTTTGAACAGCTGTATAGGTCATAGAAATTATCTAGAGCCAAGATTTCTGCTAAAGAAACTATTCAGCAAGATATTTCCATGAGTGGAATTTCAACTTTGTAGTATGATCGAGTTACGAGATATATTTATCCATAAAACATCTATATATGGCAACTTCCTTGTATACATGGCAATACTGGTCCATATATTCATATTTCATTCATTTGACCTTATTTTTATACGAAGACTTGATGAGCTTGAGATGTATGTATGTTCAAAATTTCGACGTAAATAAATGTATAGTTGCCGAGAAATGCATGTAGACATATTCAAAAAAAAAGAGTAGCTTTTTGCAGTTAGGTTCTCAAAACATTTGAACAGTTTAACAAAGGAACGACATTTGTTCAAAAAATATGTACCGTCATCCTTAAAATTAGTTTCCTATACGTATATGAAAGTTAGCAAAGTCAAACAGTTTCGGTTGGAAACAAGTTCAGTAGTTACTTATGTTGGATGACTTTTATACCTATTAGCTCGGTAAAATATTTTGCACAGATTGAATAGGCATAAAACTAGTAGATCTAGCTGGCACTGTGCAAATCGAATTGTTATTTCTCTTACACTTAATCCATTTCACTGCATGAAAAAATATGCTCATGGCAAAAATAAATGACAAAAAACCATTGAAAATTTGCTTCAAATAGAACGAACTTTTCACCAGCAGTGACTCATCGTACTAGTATTACATCTATCCTATATATTTTGAGTTTTTCGATGAAATGAACTCGTATCCTCGGTATCTGTAATGTATCGTGCGTATCGTACGGATCGCATGGATCGCCGTCGTATCCTTTGGATTGTCACGTATCCAGGATAGACGGAATCCGCTTTTCCCCCCTTGGGCCCCGCTGTAACTTAAATCAATTCACAAAATAGAAATTTATATTTCTATTTAACCAATCAACAACAAATTTCCTATTTTCGATTTCTAATCTGAATCTTAATCTTCTCTTTATTATTCTTTTTTTTCCTATTTATACTATACAACCCACACACACAAGAGAGAGAGAAAAGAAACAAAAGAAGAAAAGGCATTTGCTTCTTCAACTAGACTATTTTGTATCTAAAGATGATGGTGCATTATTCTATAAATGCACTTAAATTCCAGTCGAAGAAGTGATGCCATTATTTACGTCGTCACGCACGGGGGGAAAGAAGACACAATAGAGAGATACGCAGAGAGATGAAAGAAAGAATGAAAAAGAGCGGTTGACGTATGTGCATCTCGAGTTGGATTGCAAATATAAGAAATACATAACGTATAAAGATGAAACAACAATAAATAAGAATAAATCAATCAATCAATCAATAAATAACTTGTTAGAGTACACTCTAACATCTTCGATAGGGTTTATGAAAATGTAGCGTATGATACACCCTTTTAAAGTTGTTCAGTCGTATAAACGCTATGATAAACCTTTTTATTTCGTCTTTTGATGGGTAGATAAAAGGGTCTATCGCATGCTGCTAAACGGTAGAAAAGGGTATATCATACGTTGCATTTTCATAAACGCTTATATCTCAGTTAATAGATTTGCAATATTCTCGGAATTTTTTGTAGGATGTGAGTGTGGGTTTAGAGATTTACACGCCCACACCCTCAAATTACATGTCACGCTTACACTTGAATATAGCACCAGAAATTTTTCTAGCATTTCTCTAGAAATTCTTGTATCTCAATCAATTTAATAGTGGTAGTTAGGAAATTTTATTTATAATCTTGTTTCATGTAGTACGGAACAATGCAGTGCGTAATATCTGGGGAGTCAAAAATGTTTTCTTTTTCATCGATTTTTTCTCGAAATGATACAAATAATTTTGCAATTTACTCATTTGTATAAATTCATCTCACTTAAATATCATAGATTGCTCGTCGAAACACCCCTCATGAGGAAATCCAGACGAAGTTTGCCAGTTGTTCAATAAATTGTCACTAAAGATAGATCTCAGAAAAATTGTAACTCACCTCGAAGTAATTAAGGAATGGTCAATTATAATCTATTGTTAACATTTATCACAAGTTACCGGGAGAAAGAAAGACTACAGTATTACAACTGTCTTCTCTTATATTTATGATGCAGTCTTTCTGTGTGATATCTCTTCCTATTTATAAACGCTATGAGATCTCATTACTCTCTCAAAGTAAATACAAATTCACAGTTCAGTCTTAAAAGAATTGTGAAATGTTATCATAATATCGTAACCTGCTAGTTCAATAATTGAAAAAAAACAAAAGCCCTCTCTGACCCTCCTCGACCTGAAGCACAGTGAGTAGACACTGTAGAGCAAGATCAATTGGACTCTATAAGCAAAACCAGCAAAGACGACCCTGAAAGCCGTGGTGTTGCTGCTAATCAAAGCATAATTCAGCATCCAGGTAAAGGTGCTGGTCTGAAATAATGGAAGTCTTTTTGAAACCTCTAGCTGGCGAATACAGCCAAATCAAGGCGTTTGACGAAACGTTAGTAAGTCTTCGTGGCACTCAAAAGTGCAAATGATAACAAACAGTCGCTCGTACCATCGAATATCATTTGCAAGTTCAAGTTTGAAAGTTCCTTTCTAAGAAGGATTTTGGAGGAGCTTTTTGCTCCAAGAAAAACTTGAATAGTGAATTTCGCTTCTCACCAATAGTTCGCATGATCTCAGTAGCTCGTACTCGAAGACCACGATCTAAAACATCTATCAAATGATAGCCACTCATGGAAGTTGGGCCGTTCAATTATCAGAGTATCCTGGCCATGAATAAGTTCTAGTATGAATCTCATGGAAAACTCATGTTCTCTGATAAAGGTTACCCAGCGGAGGACAATAACAGTTGAAGCTTTGATTAATGTCATAAAGACAGAGCGAGATGAACTGTTAAGTGAACTGTCGTACAATCGCATGAATATTAAAGAAAGTTTTATTCAATTGTTAATCGACTCATCTTGCAATTATGCGCTGTACTGAAGGAATACTTCAAAGCATTATTTTTGTGTCTACTTTTAATCATCTTAAATTGGTTCAAGTAACCACAAGAAAAGTATGAATTTCCGCAGGACAGGTTGCTGCAATTTTTCCATCTGCGCTGGCTACTTTTGGATTAACTTGGCCATAATAATAAGACTAAAAGTTAAGTTTAAAGCAAGTAGCTTGAAATTGGTGGATGAGTCAGATTAAGAACCTGATTAATTGTTGAGATTGAGATCATTTAAGTTGAAAGTAGTGTTTGACTTTTGACTCAACCCTTTTCTAGTCAATTGAGTTCGATTTTCCATGCTTCTAACCATAGCTTTTCGAGGGTTGGCTATGGTAAAATTTATCTAGATTTTCACACATCCCATGACTTTGACGAGTACTGTATACATACACATATGTCAGCGAAATTTCTTTTTTTCTTTCTTTCAGGTAATCATCTTCCAACATCACAGGAAATGAGCACACTTCAGTTAACTTGCCTTCTTGTATGTGTAGAGAAAATCAGATAGAACGAGTGAGTATCAGTTGGATCCTAGACATATATAAAAACAGAGAGAAAACAGTGATTAGCGCACCGAATGAGTTATATTTTTTTTATCTTACAGTCCTTCGGAATTTATGGATTATATCTTTTTTCAGAATTTCTGCGAATCCTCCTATATGATATCATATGTGCACATGTGCTTCTGTAATTATACAATTTATGAGCTTGAAGGTCTCCACGACTCGCTTACGAGGGGACATTCCCGAGTGATTCGCACCATTTCGATTCATTTTTTGCTGGTCGGTAGTTGTAGGACTCATCATATATAAGCCAGAAAAAGATGAATCGAAATGGTACGAATCATTTGAGAATGTTTCCTTGTCAGAATGATTACTAATTAGTTGCGCCTGCGGGGATATTGAAATGAATACAAATTCTTTGTAATTATTTCGACTTATTTAAAAGATAAAGCCGAAGACAAATACATTCATTTTCACGAGTCTATTCGAGAGGAAATCGCTGCACCCGAAAATTTGAAAAATCGACGACATAGAGGTTACCATGTTGATCGAAGTTCACAGCTCCGGAACCGTTAAACTGATTCGCTGCTGCTCCTGAACTATTTCCACCCACAATTACAGAGCCCTGTTTCGCTCCTTGAGTCCAACACATAACACGATGATTCGACGAGTCTGCTACATAAATAGTGCCCACTATATCAGCAAAGAGTCCGAGAGGAAGCGATAATTGTGTCAGAGCATTCCCTGAGCCTTGACCTCCGGCGACGACGATGCCTTCCTTTGCACCTTTGACCCATTTCATTACACGATGATTATCTCTGTCTGATACGTAGACATTCTGTTGTTGGTCGACATAGATATAAGTCGGTTTATAGAGTTGATTGGTCCCATTACCTCGGTCATTGCCACCAGTCACAAGAGTGCCGTTCGTATCTCCTAATTGATATTTTCTTACTTCATGTTTATTATTGTCAGCGACGTAGAGATACGTGTGATTATTCATGGCCAATCCCCAACAACTGATATTGTTGATCACAATTTCTCCTTGAGTTGTGCCATTGCGACGAGACCATCGTACGACTCGTTTATTGTTTGAATCACAAATGATGAGACTATCCGTCTCTTTGTCGATCAACACATCAGTTGGCGAATGCAATTGATGCAATCCATTTCCGACGCCTTTGCCACCAGCAATAACATGTCCATTCGTATCATTTTTCTTCCATTGAATAACACGATGATTCCCCCAATCAACAATGATCACTGCTTGATCATCATCAACGAAGAGTCCGTAAGGATTCGAGAGTTGATTGATGGCATTACCTTTCCCATTGCCTCCCGCACCAGTCACTCCGTCCTTTACCCATGTGGCATTAGCAGGAATATTGAGTATATCTACAAGAAACGAAAAATGAAAAGCTGCCTTCGTAAACTCCTACATTTTATAATGTTTTATATGAGAAACTCATCTGTGAAAAGAGTTTGACGTATCTTCCCTTAGAGAATTATAAAAATTGTGCTTGTCCATAAAAATCAACAATTTTCTCGCAATACGCTGCGTTATTAAATCTCTGTAAAGTTTTTTTTACAAAATCCTCTAATAAAGAAATTGTTCCGAGAAGAAAGTTCACAATTCAATGTTGAGTTTTACGAATACGTTAAGATCTATCCTATATTCGGGTTTTCAAAATTGTAAGACTTTCTTCAAAAGTTTCCGTCTTCACTATAGCAATCTTTCAATGGAAAACCAGAAGTAACGAGCTACAAATATGGTAGAGACGTTTTATTGCAAATACTGAAGGAGTTCCTTGGTATTTCTGCATTTCGATTCTTTCGTAAATCGCTAATCTAAACGGTTCGAAAGCTGTGGAGAGAAATTTCATCTCACGTCTCGACAAGAATATAGATTTATGAAAGTGATCTTAGATCAGTGTTGCCAGGTCTTCCATATTTTCCGGAAAAAAATTGTATCACGATTATATTTCACTCATTGGTCAACATTGTACCACAATTTTTTGTTGACTCGATAGAAATTTATAGTGCCACCTTATATTGATCTACTTCAGAGACTAATATTCTTCTGTTTCATGAATCTACTGAAATTCAAATAATATTTAAAACAATACAAGATAAGAGCATTACTCTGTATGATCAAGTTGAATCATATATTAGTAATGAAACCAGTTCTAACGTCACAACAACTTCTTCTAGAAAAATTTTGCCAAGCAGAGAAGTTGAAGAAGAACAACAAAATACTGATGATGATGACATAACAGAAGAAATAGGACTTAATTAGCTATGGGCAATGCTTTTTTCTCTTAAGCCTACTCCATTTCCTAATCTTCACAAGCTCATTTCTCTTTTTATTCTCAATTCCCTGCAAACACTTATTTCATGATACACGAAATTGTATGTTAACAGAACACATTACAGCTGAATTAATAGTTCTTGTATATTCATCGTTATGGTGCAAAAAAATGTATCCTTTTCTCTTGTCAAAACCAGAATTATTGAAACTTATTCTTTCGAACCAACAGTATTTAGTGCTAAAACGCAACGTGTAAATTAAGAGCGAAATGTATAAATAATATATTCTTAAAATTTATTTAAATATACTTCGTAGATATAACCAATATCTTTGTTCCTAATCCCTTCGAGTAAAACGGACTTCAAGTGAATGAAACTGTCCCTGAAAAATATTTCCGCATTATGAGATTTGATTTCGAATTTGACATCTGTCAACACTGAAGACAACTCACTTTACAATGATGTGGTCCTTTTTCTGAACTTTTTTTCTACGACTCGCCACCGGAATATTGAAATAACTCACTTAATGCTTGATATTGCACTCATCAGCTATTTTTGCCACTCACTTAAAGAGCATAACTCTTAAAGCTATGATTACAATAGTGAGATATCCGTTGATGTCAAACTGTAGCTCAACTTTTGGTGATAATTCGATTATTTCCGTCTTTTTAAATGATGCCGTAGTTTTCAAAACAAGATATTGGACAAAAAGAGCCTTTTCCCACCATTTTAGTTCAACATGTTCTTGGTTTTGGCTTGACACTACCATTAATTCTCGATATTATCTAAAATAAATGTCATGCTCCGATTTAGCCAAGCATGGGCCATTTTACCTGGACACTGCCTAGATAATATAGAGTATATATTTGTACCAGAGGCACTCACGATGCTGAGCCTAATTTTTGATGTGTTGCATCTTGACAGCGGTCGATGTTCAACCACAAAAGAATTTCGTGATTTTTACCTCGTTATTCAAAAATTAACGAGTTCTGATCTTGTGTAGAATTTTTCTCCTTTGATACTAAAAACTGCATCAAAATCTCAATTCAAAGTCTATCAATTCAGAATATGTATATTTTGATTGCTATTTTTACGATCTTCTTATGAACGCTATCAAGAAAACAAATGAATATGGCCCTTAATTGTTTCTTGTAAGGAAAATCGACTCAATCATCATATACAACGCTAGAGTATTTCAATGTGAGTTTAGCAATCTGCACAGATTAATATTGTACTAATTCTAACTGCACGTATATCTAAGTGATAATTAGAATTGAACAAGGTCAAAAGGCATTAATCAAAGCTTACTTGATTTCTTTGTAGTAGTTGTGCTTGTTGTTGTGCTAGTACTGGTTCTCACTGTGAATAATCATGGAACAATCATGTAAAAAAGAACAGTACCTTGAGTCTGACAAAGAAACGATATAGAAATCACGGTAATGAATTTTTCGAGACAGTCTTCGTACTGTAACACCTCAGCTTCAAAGAGCGTTGAACGCTAGAATTTTATGTGCACTGAAGAGAGAATTTTATTTTCTTACTTGTTTTGAGTGAACAGATTCGTACCGAACACATGGGTTCAAGGGGGAACAGACTGATTTCGGAAGTCGAAATCAACTTGAAATCACTTGAAATCACTTGAAATCACTTGAAATCAGTTGAAATAAAAAAACTCCAGGCGAAATCAGTTTGTTCCCCCTTGGTTGTATTGATCCTTCAATAAAAAGAAATTCGATATCTCGAAATACTTAGTTTGTTCTTCGAAAAAGAGAAATCCTTATGAAAGAAACAAAATCGATTGAAGGTAAGATTGTCTATTTTTATTTATATAACTATAAATTAAATTGAAATTGAAATTGAAATTGAAATTGAAATTGAAATTGAAATGAATTATTTTATTTCTTTTGCAACATTTCGCCGTGATCACACAAACAAAGAAAAAATAGCTTGTTCACATTGTAACAAAAATGAACTTGTGAAAAAGTATATATAACTAAATTTTCTTGATGATGAACTCGACTTTCGAACGAATGCATCTTTTTTCAATATGTTTCTCTGCTTTTCCTCGTGTGATCAGACCAAAATATTACAAAGAAATAAGTTCAATTTATTATAGAAACAGAAATTACTGACAATTTATATTTGTTTAAAATAAGCAGAAAAAATGACATCCCTAAAAGAAGTAATGACTTATTGTTTTGTAATGCAAATATTTAATAGGCAAAGAATGAAGGACATGTGTGTAAAAACGTCATCAGAACAATGAAAATACTTTTAAAAATATAAGAAGTTGTGCTGGAAAATTCTTTCTCTTCTTTCACAGCGTACACTGGCATATATTCTTATATTTGTACTCTAATATTTACTGTGAAAGATTGAAAGAAGATTTCGGAACAATTGAATGAAAGGTGTAGGAGAAAAGTAATAACAATAGTTGAAATGTTAGATTCTATTTTTTCTTTAATACGATAATTATAACATGTCTCGTAGAGTTAGGGAAGAAAGAGTGAGGAGTATCTTATTACAAATATTTCCAATAGTGAAGAAGCACGTTCGAAAAGACAATATTATATGATTGATGAACGCTGACAATGTTCAGGAATGTGAAACCTGTGTGATGAGCCAATTCTCGAACGTCTATTCATAAACAAACTATTTTTTTCGTAGTAAACAAGTAGTCTCTGTCTAGCAGGGTTGCCAGCCGTACCCCATTTGAGCCTTTTGTACCTAAAAAAAATTGTACCTCTGAAGTACAATTTTTGTACCCCATCTGCATTTTTCAATGTTACGACTACTATCATCCATATTTTGGTTGAAACTAAGAAAATTTCTGTCTCTTTATCCGACATTTACTATTGATAAAGATGTGAAGCGTTAATTATATTGGTTGGCTGCTAATGGTCATGTTTATGAAGAATTCAAGAATGACATATGGAACGAGTCTCACGATGAAGATAATCTCATTCACAAATCGGCGATCGAAAATCATGAAAGAGAAGTGGAATTTCGGTCTGATCAATTTTGGGCTTTTCTTCTTGTAAAGTCGAAGCCAATGTGTATTGAAATGTACAAAATTATTTCTTATGTGTACTCAATTCCTTGCTCGAATGCATTTCTTGAAGGCGTTTTTAATCAAAGAAAAAGCGCATGGACAGCCAGTCGCAATTTGACAGTGAATGAAACGATAGCTGCTGAATTGAAAATCAGATTTAATAGTACTATGACATGTGAAGGTTTTTTTTCTTTTGGTCAAACAGAACCGCAACTGATAAAGTGTGCCAAAAGTTAACAAAAGTAGTTTCGAAAAAAGCGTGCAACAGTTAGTGTAAATATAAATTGAGAAGGTTCGCTTTGAGTAAGCATTGTTTTATTATGATTGAATTGAATATATGTATGTCAAGATGAAATTTTATTGTGAACATATTTATTAGAAAATAAAGATTTCAATTTGAAAGCTAGACTTTATAGTAAAACGGAAAACTGAGAATGCCCCTTCCTGATTGAAAATAGTTTTCGAAATTGATTTCCGCAGCCGATGACCAGTGTGAAAGATGTAAACTGCGTATCTCATGAATGTACCCCATTTGCGACCTGAACAGCTGGCAACCCTGTTGTCTAGTGAAGTTACTACTAAAAATACAATCCCACTTTATCTATAGATCACCGATTCTCGAGCTTCGCCTTAATAATGTTTGAAGCAGACGTGGTAAATGTAATAACTCAATAATTAGTTCTCTAATTAGCAAAACTGCTGTAAAATTTTCGCATTCCCGAAGAGAACATACGAGACGAATGTAGGGGTGGCACTTTAACTTTAAATTAGCCATAAAGTGCAGAGTTTAAAGTTATTTAAAGTCACACTTAAATGTTTATTTTTGACGTTTTATCTGTTTTCAGAGAGCCTCATAAGCATGAGTAAATACGTCGGTGCAGTAAAAAGTATTCAAAATAAATATTTAAAGGCGACTTTAAACAACTTTAACCTTTAAACTTTACGGTTAAAGTAAAGTTAAAGTGCCACCCCTAGACGAATGCCGATCATGAGAAGACATGTTGTGTTTTTTCATCTTTTATTTCAGTAAAATAGAATCAATTACAAAATAATAATGAAGTATGAGAGTAACTCAACGTACAACGTAAATACGCTAAGCCATAAAAGAAAATCTTTTGAGAAGCAGTTTATGTTCTTTAAAAGGTACATTATGCGTACGTGTCTAGATAAAATGTATGCCTCTGACATTCTAAATAATCAGAATAGAAGAAAATGTGTCGTTTTCTTTAATAACATCTCATCAATCATGTTATTGTGCACCACTGAATTATGCTCATATTTAAACACGAGTTTAGTAGAGCGAAAAAAAGAAAAAAATGAAGCTTTATTGATTTTCAATTGCACACTGTTAAAATTCTAGCGAAGCGAAAGGAATACTGGTGAGTTGTCATATGTGCGACAAACTTTCTTTTAACAATTCTTCCCCTGTCATAAGCTCACTTTTCCCCTCTGTTCAAGTCGTTAAAGAGTTCGTAAGCAGAAAAATCGAAGTATAATACAGAAATATTCTTTTTTTTCGATTAAAAAAGTAAGCTGCCTTCTGGCTGCGATTTGTTTATAACTTCAGCAAGTGACATTCAAAAGCAGAGGCAATAAAAGAAAGAAATTGAGAAGAAATGGTACAAGTCCTTGTGTTTCGCTCTATAAAAATATTTCTTGTATGCGACATATTTTGTCGAGGCAGTTTATTTTACATTAAATAAATGTTACCTGACATTTTCTCCAATCTATATAATGTATTTCTCTCCATGAATAAGGTATAATGAGACTATCAATGGCAGCTAAAACTAGACCTATTTTTTTACTTTAGTTCCCTTATTTTTACTAAATCTATACTCGATCTTATTATTCAATATCATGCTTTGAATTGTGATATCTCATTATTTTACTTTATTCATAATGAGAAGTAAAAAGACAAGTCACCATTAGTCCAAGATTGGTATACATGAATATTTTTTTCAAAACTATTATTTTCTATAGTGCATGTTCTGGTTTAACCCTTTCCGGCCCGGTGTTGCCATATGGCAACATTTTCCCCTAGGGGGGTACGGCAATTTCCAAACAGCGGGTCGGAAAGGGTTAAATGAATGATACACAATCAGGCTTGCCAGCTCTTCCGCTTTTTCACTTTTTTTCCGCTATAATTCCGCTGTTCCGCTTTTTCGTATAAAACATGTTGCATATCAAACATACCTACTGAATAATATTTTGATATTATTGAATCAGTTCTTATTGTTTACAAATACCGTGAATCATCATTTCTTATGTTTTGAAACTTTGATGAAATAAAAAGAAATACAATAAATATGAAAAAATATCTAATATTCTCAGAAGCATTATAAATCTGCAACAATATAAGCGTCCGCTTTTCTTTCCGCTATTTTCCGCTTTTTAAACGTCATCAAGTGGCAACCCTGTACATAATCGAGAGGTTGTCAAGGACATGAATAGCAACTCTTGAAACAAAATATTATTTTTAAATGTAGCTCTCAGTATTTTGTAGAAGGAGAAACAATTCCTGTATGTTTTTCCTCATACCTATGGTAAGTTTAAAATTTTCCTTTCTTTCACACGCACGCTATGACTACAGAAACAGTCTTTTTTTTTATAATCATTGACATTTTTTTAAACGCTCCAGTAGTATAGATAACCAAGAGCAAGAAAAAAAAATTGTTCTGCAATGTAGTAAGAATAAATTGGATTGAAAAGCAAACACGAGGGTGTTTCGGCTGTAAGTACTCATTTAAAGTCATGTTGATATCAATTGCACTTAGTTAAGTTTTGAACATATTCTATTTACTCTTGCACAATATGAATGCTAGAGAAAAAGAAAAAAATCGATCATGAAATATTCTAAATGGTTTTGAAAGTAACCAAGTAAACAGAAGCTGCAAAGAAAAATTGTTTCACTAAAAAGTTAATCAATTATTTATCTTTAAGATTCTTTTTCTGGATCAGTTCATAGAATGATTTCTTTGAACGACGTTCAATCTACGCCGAAAAAGAAGTGTTCTGTAACATATTGTTTGTGCCCTTTTATCTTACCTGTTACAGTGATTTTGTTCATGATCGGTGCTATCAATTATCTACCGCGTATGAACAAAAATTTAATCATTCAAAATTCAGTCAATGTTAAGTTCACTATAAGAAATGTTACCAATTCTCAAATAAATATCACTGCAATCGCCACCACCGCTGCATATAGATCATTCGAAAACTTTATTTGTGACGAGAAGAAAATTAATCGGTTTACAGTTTCGTCTACAACATCAGCCAATGATTCATTTGATGTATATCGAAAAACTACTTTAGAAAAATATTGCGATATTGTACCTATTCCACGACGTGATTGGTCACCACCAAAGTCTTACACTGAAAAGGATGTTGCGTTTGTTATATTTACGGCTGCTGCATTTTTTCATACACGAGCAACAGCAACACGTGATACATGGCTTTCACGTATAACAAATTATTATTTTCTTAGCGCAACTCCGTATCCACATTTACCTGTAACTGTTGTTCCTGGTGCTGGCGAAGATAAATTGTCGAATATGAAAAAGCTTTTCTATGGCCTACAAATCATCTATAAACAACAAATGAATCGTACTTCCGATGAACGACAAAAATGGTTTTATATAGCTGGTTGTGATACATTTATCCTTCCACATCATTTACTTAAACGACTTGATGGCTTAGATTATAGACAGCCGATTCGTGTTGGTGGTCATTGGGGTTATTGTGATTGCCCAGGACCCAATGGAACAAGATTTAGAGGTGAATTTCCATCAGGTGGTGCGGGATTCTTTTTTAGTATGAAATTACTTGAAATATTACAACCACATTTAACTAATTATGTTGAAAATGTTTGGCCTCGTGGTTCCGAAATATCTGATGTTGCACTTTCTTGTCTTGCTCATCAGCTCGGCGTTGGTTTAACTAAACAAGTCGGCTTTTGGGCACATTCACCAGCATTTACATTAGGTGAAAATGGACGCTCTAGATTTCATAAAGAACCTGAGCCAAATGATTTTCATTATATTAAACCTGATGAAATGTATGCACTTGATGAATTTTATGTTCATCAACATATGGATAGATTAATAAATGATCAAAATTGGCATGAATTCACTCGATTTATGCGACGTTTTGTGGCTAGTCATTATGAACTGTTGAGGAAAAAAAGGCGTGAATGCATTTTGCCAAGTATAGGAGCTGAAGTAAAATTATGAAAAAGCTAATAAAAAATTTTAAATACCTTTTAAAATATTCATAGCTATCTCTTTTTTTATATCATTAAAGTGCAAAGATCTCGTAGGGAAAATTTGACATACATATCCAAATGTAAAGTTGAACTTATATACGTACTCTCAATAGTAAAATTAAAATATCCATCCATCTATTTATGATGAATAACATATTTTCGTGTATTTTCATTTTTGTCATTCAGATAAATTCAAAAGAACGATTACTTCACAGCAGATATGTCGTAAAGCGAATATGAATCATTTCGGTTATATACATATGTATAGATTTTTGTATTGAACGCTATTATTAATACTATGAAATCGACTTAAACGAATGTATCTGTTCTCTAAGCATTACAAAAGCGTGTATACATATCTACTCGCTCTCATTCGCGCAACATATAGTCTATATGTCTTACGTAAATTGAATGCAGTAGCAAGAAAGAGAAACACGAACGGTACATCAGCAGTTACTCAGCTGCGTGCACAACACTAACATCAATCAAGCATGCAACCAGCATATGATATATGCTCGTGTAAGGCGATAGTTAATCACTCTATTTTGAATGAATAACGGCGACAAGCAGTTAAATGGGTAATCAGCCTTTTATTGAACCTGTCGATTTTTCTTCTGCATATTGCTAGAGGTAAGTCGCGTCACGGCTTTATTTCAAGAGCAAAGAAAAGACAGCCATGACCTTGATATTGTTTGGCATACAATAGTTTATGCTCGATTAATTAACATATTATGAGAGAGTGTTAACGAAAGAGAGGAAGAGAAAAATGACAAACTTTACATCTGAAGGTTCACAAGAAGAAGAAAAGAACCTGCAGAAATAAAAAAAAAGAAAAGAAAAGAAAATAAAAACGACAAAAATATATATTTGATTATATATATATATATATATATATAGGTATATTTTACTTGTCTTATGACCTCATATAACAGAGAAGAACCTACAATCAAATGATTAAAATCGCATATGCCTTCCATCCATTTCCGGCCAACTGTAAGCCAACTTGTGATGCCAGTAAGATAACTTGTTTCTTTTAAAAATAAACTTGAACTGGAAAAGAAAAATATTCATTTTAAGCTTTACCAGCTTCACCGACCTGGAATTATTCGCCACATACACCACCAGCTGCTCCATTGAAAAATTCTAAAACACTATCAACAACAATTTATGTCAATTCTATTCCATATACAGTTATTCGTTTGCTTGGCGAAGGACTTCATAGTAGAGTCTATGCTGCATACGATCCTCGAACAGGTCAATCTGTAGCGATTAAAGTAGTACAAAATCTTGAATCAAATGACAGTCATGAACATTTAAAAATATTTTTAAAAGAAATTCGTTATTTAACGAAATTACAGCCACATAATCCATATGTCATAAGAGTTTACAATCATGAATACGATAGTAAATCTCAAACGGGTAAAATTGTGATGGAAACTGGACATGATTTTCGTTTTATGTTACCATTACAAGCACCACCGAAGAAGAAAAAAATGACAAATGCACAAGCTAAATATTATTGGTATCAAATGGTTGATGCTGTTGCTCTACTTCATCGACATGGAATTGTTCATTCAGGTAAATAATTCAATGATGAATAAAAACTAATAAACTTATTTTCTAGATATTAAACCGGAAAATTTTATTATGACACAAGGCGGTCAACTGCGAATTATTGATTTAGGCCTTTCATTTCGTTTATCACACGCACAAACATCTATATTAAGACCATTTGCAGGTGAACATATTTTAATTGATCTTTCCTTATTCTTATTCTGATAAAATATTCAAAGGTACACCCGAATATATGCCACCTGAAGTATGTCAAATACAAAATGGTCAATATTCTCGTCAAGGTCGACCATCGGACATATGGGCACTTGGTTTGTTTGCTATTTTTTTGTCAAATTCAAAAATAAAATCTACTATTTTCATAGGTATTCTTTTATTTGAAATGATTTTTGGTTATCGGCCCTTTGAACATGTTCAAGATAATTATGATAAAATGTCTCACATAGCTCGATTAACACAAAATCCCGTTATACCGACTACACCCAATACATATGTACGTGATGTACTTCAACAATGTTTACAAATCAATCCAATGAATCGTCCAAGTGCAGATCAATTACTACAACATTCGTTCTTTAGTAATTGATAAAGAAATTTATTAACGAAAAACACAATGGCAATTCATTGTGTTCGAAATGTGTTCGATAGTTGTTGATTTTTATTCTTTATTTGCTTTGGTTTTGATGCGTTTCGTTTAATGAAAGAAGGTTTTCTTAATTTAATTGGCTTTCCTTGTTTTTTATATAAACGTTTTTTAGCAAGATATGATCGATATTCGTACGTTTGTTTCATTCGATTCGACATTTTTTTCCAACGTTCCGATAAGCGTTTATTAATATCATGTATTGACATTTTTCTATGTTTGCTAATTAATTTTCGACGTTCATCTTTTAAATAAATATTGAATGGTGTAATCGAAATCGGTTTTTTAGCTAAAGGATTATTAATTTTTGAAATCATTGTTTTACATGAACTTGTATTCAATGCAATTGCTTTCGAATTGATTTTATCAATCTTCGAACGTGTACGATTTGCTGGATGTTTTAATTTTTTTGTAAATAATTCACTGTCGATCAAATTATTGAATGTTGTTATTTTCGATGCGGATGATATTGTCTATGAAGGAATGATCCAATAGATTTTTTTTATATAAAATACACGTAAAACTTGGAGACGAACAGAAAAAAAGCATCGTTCTCGTGATTATGCTTAATTGAAGAGTACATTATTTTCAATCATGAGCGCACTATCAATATTTCACTACACTCTTCCAGGTAAATGCATTACATCGGTATTTGAAAATGGTTCTGACGCAAATGAATAATTGTCTTTATGTTTTCGACAAGGGCGACAATTGTACCTTTCTATAATAATTATGTATAATTGGTACAGTCCGACTAATCGTGCTTTTGTAAAGCAGTAATCGAGCACTTTAATACGAGACATAGCACGCCTGTAGTGTACTTTTTATTCAATATGATTAACCGTGTGACTATTCAATATTCAACTATGCACTAAGAAAACGAAGCTTTTGATTCGACCACAATCACATGTACCAGTACTAGATTGGCCTACATGTTTACAATATTCCCGTCAAAATCAAGAACGCACTATTTTGGAATATTCGATTTTTCCAATTGAATTCGACTAGAATAAGCATATGGCGAAAACTTACATGATTACTTTCGCGAGTGATTTCTTCCAGAAAATTTGCCAGCGAAATTTTCTTATCATCACTTAGGCGATGCCATACATTGTAGGAAGCTTCGAGAAGTTGTTCAACTTCAAAATGAAGTTGAGGATGAAAATATTTTACATAGATACCCAATATTTTGCCTAGAACGTGCGAGTAATATCGAGTTTTTATTTTAAATTAGAAAGTAAACACTTGTGTGCTGTCTTTTTCTTACTAAAATCAGAATAATATCGACAGTATTCGTCTACCATAATAGTAGCTGTATTTTTCTGTTGTTGTTGTTTTGTTGAAATTTGATGCATAATGATTTTTACGTTTAACAAAAATTATAACAAAAGATAGAATGAAGTTACTAAGGTTTTTTGGCAAAGAAATCTTGGCGGTAATTATCAACAATTTTGTTATAAAATTCATGCTGCCCATGATACTAATAATAGAGAGAAATATCTTCGTCTTTCTAATCAACACTCCAGCTACTGCACGAAATACTATTTCATACAGAAAAAGCACCGCTGCATTTGATTGGTTATTAAGAAATTAGATTAGAAATCTTTATTTTTTTTCTGTCTTTTGTTTTCTATATTATTCAACAAGAATCACGTTTTATATTTAATGAAAAAAAATACACGAAATACAAAAACAAGATCATTTATGTAAACTATTACCATTCATCATCATATTCAAATAGCTTTTGTTTTTTAACGCCTCTTGCTTTTTCTCTTTGTTCAATCAATTTTTCAATTGTTGGACTTAGTTTATTATCTCCTACTATTAGATCATCGCGAGTTCTCTTTGGTAGTATTGGTTTTTCGATTGCTTCAGGTGTAACCTCCATCGCCTAAAGTAAACAGAAAAGAAAAAAAGGATTTCATTTTAGAACTTAAAGTTCAAGAACTTACAGACGCTATTGTTGTCGCTTGTTGAGTTGAAGCAACGGCATCTTTATCAATGTAAACTCGTTTATTTGACTTTCTATTACTCGGATCAACATCAAATAGATGATTCGGTTCTTTAATTTTTATTTTCGAAGGATCAAGACGATGATATTCTGCGTACGGAGTAATAACAAAATTTTTATCGTTGGCACACATCTTTGCTAACACTAAAAACAAAAGAAAATCATTGTTATGAGATACGATTTCAAAGAAGTATTAAATTATTGAACAAAAAATGGCTGAGATATAATATATTTACTTGTGTGTACTGTATCTTTTCTTAATGATACTCCGACAATATGTGTTGTTAAATTAAGTCGATCATAGGAAAGAAGATTCCATTGAGAACAATATTCACGTATATTTGCTGTTGAACATGTAGGCGGATGAGTTATATAAAAAACACAGGATCGATCAGGTAAATCTTTAATAGAGAAAAAAAACCAAGAGTACAAGATTCAATTCGCTTTAAAATTATCGTTTATTTACCATCATCATTTAGTATATCAGAATATTTGAGATCAAATGAACGCATGTAAAATAATCTAAAAGAAATATTTGATTAGATTAGATTTAACTCATATTATATATTCGACTTGCTTTCCAGTAAATTTTTCAAAAAGCGGATGTTCAATTGGATTTTGTTTGAATTCACTTTTGACAGCTAGAAATGAACATTCGAATTAAACCAACATAGAGTAAGAAAATAAAATCTTCTACCAATATACGCCATCATTTTAGTCATACAAACAGCTGTACAAGTAGCATCATAACCAGCTGTATGCTCATGTTCACCTACTGCATACCGGAAATTATCAGCGGTTTCTAATGAGATGAAAAAATAATTTGATACAGATTTAAAGAATATTTTTCTTTCAAAAAATATACCAAAACGGCATGCCGGAAATAAAGGTTCACGAATCATTCTATAAACAGCATTCAATGCTGTATTAGTAATAATACTCTAATAAATGCAAGATATATATATATTTTTTTTCTTATGATGAAAATCAGTTTTACTTGGAAAATAGATGTCGATGCAACTGTTTTTGTATCAATTAATCTACGAAAAACAAATATTTTAGAAAGTCAATATTGATTAGTAATGAAATATATAGATTTACTTCGGAAATAAAGATTTAGCAATCGATTTGTACTCTTCATAAGACTTGAATGAATGAAAGAAAGAATTAGTTAGGAAAACAAAATTCATCAAACATACCGAAGGTATAGGTGTGAAAAATTGATTAATTATGTGTAATAAATCCATGTGAATATTATGTCCGATCACCGGTTTACCCTAGAAATATAATATTGAGTTTCATTCAAAACAATCACTTCTTTACAGACAGGATTAATAAATACAAGAATACGAAATTATAGTTTTAGTATCTTGAATGTTGCCACAAAATTCTCATGATCGATTGTTCATTGAGCTCAAGTTTTTCTTGGTCTTCACATTATCTCCTCATCTTTAGGTCACGAAAATTCGAATTATGAGTCATATATGACCTTGATCCTTATGTCATATAGTACAGTTGCTCAGAAAAAAAACATTGGCAACAAGGTTCAGCAAAGAAAGAGATAAAAAAAAACAAATTTTTGCCTCTGTTTATCTCAAGGGTATATAAATGAATGAAATAAGAACAAAGCATGGCTTCGTCTACGCCAAGGTGCTTTGTATATCCTAGAACGGCTCAATCAAAATTTGGATGAATGGTAAAACTAAGCATCACAATGTCTACTGATGCTACCACAATCACTCACAGATTCTTGTAATTTCCTAAAAAATAAAAATAAAAAAATATTTCCTAACTATTCAATTATGTTAAAACGAATTTTACACCTACCACATGACTTCTGAAAATCCGGTCATTGAAGTTTTCAGTAAATCTCCATCTGACAAATTATTGGGTTCAGATTGTTTTGGTGAATTGGCAGCTGTGTCACCATTTCTGTTTGTTCGAATGAAAAAATTAATTCTCTATTTACACTATTGGAGAATATTTTACTTGTCAGTATTATTGTTATTATTGCCGTTTGGTATCGGACGAGTATTCCGCCGAGATGCATTTTGTTGAATATTTTTTAATTTTTCTAAATGCTTCGTTTTACACACAAAAGGAATTCCTAGAAAATATCTATGAATATATGATGAGTATGTTTTGAATAAATTACCTTTGAGAAATAATTGAACAAAGTCAAAACGATTAGCTGCTAGAAATTGTAATGATGAGCTCTAGAGTTTATGCAAAAAAAGAACAGTTTATTTTTTTCGGCCATTGCATATCATTTTACTTTTGATCCAAAATCGAATGCATCGGTTTCATTTTCAGGAAAGACATAAAAATTGTAAGCTTTTAGACTATATCTAAAAGAAAGAAAGCAACAAGTTGTGAATAACTGTTGTTGTTATTTACCGATTTTCTTCTGCATTGATGCATCGAACCATGGCAAGACCAACTTGTACCATAAGATAATGTCTATCACACTGAAATAAATCATTTAAAAAATATTAATATGAATAAATTAACAAATTTACATCATAATGACGCTTGTATCGTTCAGCTGGAGTATCAAAATAGTTCATTTTATCAAATGATAATATTCCTGTAAATTCACCGTCAACAGCTACATAATCAGCATTATTTATATCGTTTAAAATTTCCGGTAAAACATCATAAAAATCTATATGAATAAGCAATAAAATAAATTATTTCAATTATAAAATCACTTACTATCACGATTGACATCCATTTATAGATTGAACTGTATGAATTCAATCTAGAAAAAATATATTTTAAATAAAAAATTTTGTACAACTTTATTTTTTCAAGACATTCTACCGTGACTTTAACATATCCGCCATTTCATTGGTCGCCAATGTAACTTACCTTTCTTGCGACATTGTTTTTCTATTCGATTACAAACTTTGTTTTTCTATTCGATTACAAACTTTGTTTTTCTATTCGATTACAAACTTTGTTTTTCTATTCGATTACAAACTTTGTTTTTCTTAGTTCTGAAGAAATTACCCACAATCATTACATACTCAAAATACATGCAGTCAAATAGAACGGTATTTATTTATCAGGCTGATACTCACATTTTTATCCAATAATACTAATTCAAATTAAAACAAGCTACAGAAATCATTTATTTATTTTAACATAATAGATCAACAAATATTTCAAATGAAAATATTCGAAAAAATAAATAATTATTTCATCTTCATGATCATATACATCTTTAACAAAAGGATGTCCTTTGAATACATGATGCATTCGAAATACAATCAATCGGACTTTGTAGTTTGTTCGTGAATTAATGTTTTTTTCTAAAACAAAAAGAATGAATAATTAATCAATCACTAGTTATTTGAATATCTCGTAGAATATTTTCGTTCATCTTTTTTTTTGTCGCAACATTTCTTTCTGGGAGAATTCACTTAGATATTTAAAATATTTGCTTTGGTTACGTTTTATTTCAAACATGAATAAAACAATCAGGGGGCGAAAAACTGAAAATTTGAGTAGTAAAATTTCTACAACAAAATGAATTACTCCTTATTATTCATCGAAATTAGATATATGTTTAAAAGCAAAACAGGAGATTAAAAATTAATTTTCGGAAGTAGTATTAAACGGTGAAAACGAAAATAGTCATCAGTCAATGATTTCATAGTCAAAACATTTCGTAATTATTTACTTAATTTAAAGCATCTGTATATCTCTTTCGGGTTCATCTACGACAAAAATAAATCTCGATAAAGATAGTATCTATTTTTAAATTGAAATAGCTTTGAATTCATAGTCTTAAAATTTCAAGTGACAGTGAATTATTTAAGAAGCTATTATTACCGATAAATGATACTTCTATTGAACACCGTCAGAGAGAATTTTTCAGTTTTACTAAAAAATTCAGGACAATGTTAAATAATAGCCGATTCATATTGTATAATCGATGGAACTGAGAGAGATGACTGTTTTTCTTACCAATACAGTCTTCAGTGTTAAATGTATTCGAATAATAATTTCATAGTAAATTATTCGAATCACATTATTGAACGTTAGCAGACTAGAAATACATAAAAAAATCAAAGTATGAAGTTTTATTTCAAATATATATATAAACAAACCGCAATTTCAGATTCTATTTCTCATGTTCATATTCACTGTAATTCTAAGTGATTGAATTTTTTTTTCTTTTAGCTATGCTTTATTCATAAAAAATACTATGAATATTCTGAAATGAGCTATATTAAAGACGATTGTTTGAATCATCTTGCTATTGCGTCATTTTTTATTAAGCAATCTGTAACAAAAAGAGAAAAAAGGAAAAATTTTATAATTTATTTGCGTGTTTTTGGTTTTTCAAAAGTGTATATGAATGTTTAAGGACAACATTAAAAAACGTAATGTACGTATGGGAACATAAAATATAATTTTGTTTTTGTTTTTGAGTTTGAGTTTGAGTTTGACACAGTTTGGTTGAAATTGAATGATTTTGTTTTCCTTTTAGAACGATTGAGATGAAAATGAAAAAGAGAAAAAAGTGACAACACCGAGAGGAAAAAAGATCAGCAAAAAAAAAGACGAAAGCATCTGAGATTTTTCCATTTTAACTAGATGCTTTAGTCGCTCGTGTACTAGTTTTTCGCGGTGACTCTTTTGCTTGTTGTTGCTGCTGCTGCTGTTGTTGTTGTTGTTGTACTGATTGTGATTGTTGTTGGTAGATAAGTACATATGCTGATTTACTAATAACATTAGTTTCATCGACATCAGTTACACATGAATCATCGAATGTATGCCATTTCTGATCATGAATATTTTTCGCATGTGCTGTATAATGTCCGCCACCTAAACCACCCATATGATTGCTAACAGCGATGAGATCATATTTAGCATTAAGTTTTTCAGCTGGATTAAGAACATATTGTGATAGGTCTAAATCATAAATAGGACAATCAATGAACAAATCAATCTTGTCACGATAATGACGCGTGTAATTGAAGCGTTTTAATTGCACGATTAAGACTTTTGGTAATAACCATAAGTCAATTTTCTTTGATGCATTCTTCAATTGTTTACATTTTGGACAATACCATTGATCATTATCAGATAATGTTTCTTTTGTTGTGAAATATTTAAAGCAATCTAATAATGACGTTGTTGATTGTTTATGTTGACTACGAGTTTGTACACCACTACTATTGGTTGATGATGTGGGTTGATGTTCTTTGTCTATACGTTTTTTTCCTTCTTGCTCATATTTTTCAACAATAGCTGCTGTAACATCAACAACGAGTGTTGTATTTGTACGATTAAAATCAATATGATCATCGAGACATGTCGATAATGGTTTTGTTGTTTGAGTATAATTTTGATTAAAGACACATGATGCTGTATAAAGTGCTTTGTCCGATGATTGACTTGTATGATTTGGTGGTAATGGGAGAAAATTACCAATTGAATTCTGAAAACAAAATATAGAAATTCAAAAAGACAATCAATAAATTAGAAGAGAATAGTTTATACCAGTAATGCATCTTGAATATGTCTTCCTGTACATTTATGTCTCGGAATATTGAGATAAATAGGTAAACCGAAATTTTGATGTAAACTATCAGCTGTACGAAATAGACATGGCATAAGAATAGTTTCATTGTTTTCTTTTTTCAATGAAACCGGCACCTCGTAAAAAACAATTTGATCACGTTCAAGTATATTTGTTAATAAAGCATCATCACTATATTGCAAATGTATACGATGATTGTAGACTTCAACAGGCAGAATCAATTCGGCTTTTGGTTGATGTCCGTCATAATCGGGTGCTAATGTCAAATCATCTTCTTGTTCATCATCTTGATTATTTGAATTTATTGCACTTGATGTTGATTCATCATCAGCATCCATTGGTTCGTGTGTATTATTTTTTTGTTTTGGCTGAAAACGTTCACAAAAATCTTTTAAGAGATTATGCATACGGCCACGTTCATTCGATTTAATATAATAATATTTTATTTCTCCATTTAATCGTATATATTCGATTTTAAATATACGAATTTTCTTCTTATTTGGCAATGGTAAACTTAGAAAACAAATTGGATCAAATGTACGTCCCGATGTTTTACAATCGAGACATTGTACAACAGATTTTATTTGTCCATGAAATATATCGTGAATTTTCGATTGATTTCGTTTCCTATAGTAATCCCATTGTTCAGCAGCTAATTTCACATCGTCGACAACACCATCATCGTCTTTTTTCTCCATATAAGGTTTTTGTTTAACTAAATTTAAATCTTCATGTAAACCATCAAGTAAAAATGACATAAATTCTTGTGAATCTTGTTGAGAATAACCGCTAAATTGTGGTGCATAACGTGCTACATTTTGTTTTAATGCTTTTGGTGCATAATAATTTATTTTACCCGACCACATATTAGCTATTAAATCGCCATAGGCTTGAGCAACATCACCTTTCATACCCAATGGATTATCACGATTAATATGCTCGGAATAATCTCGTCGACGAAAATAATCTGTTAGTGCAGGTACATTCGATATGCATTGTAATGCTGAATTCATAAAACATGTATTGCCCAAATTCGATAAACCACATAGACCTGGCGTATAAAATGTTCCCGATGGTACAGGTGATGAATTATTTCGTGATGATAATGTTGCGGATTCAAATGTTATTAAGGCATTCTTGGATAATTCAATATCAGCAAGAGTACTACCCTGTCGGGACTCAATCGCTTCCCAATTATCGCCGTAATCATCGGTTGATGTATATAAACGATAAGTCGAATATGAATCTGATGGAATAGAAAACATTTTACAGATATCAGTTTTTAAATCTTCTAATTTTGTTCGACGACTACGATAGATTTGTTTAGTTGTTGATGGAGTTTGTCGTGATTTACGAACACGTAATGGGATGTAAAACGTTTCAATAACTGTTTGAAAATCACCTGATGATATGACTTTACGAACTATTTCGGTACCGATTTTCTTATAGGATTGAACAAGATCTTGATAAAGTTCATATGGAATAAATGTGTAATCATTTCCTTCGACAGCATCAGAACGCAATTGAACACCATCCGGATGCTCTAATGTAGATGTATCGATTAGACTAGAAAAATCAATTGGACCTGGTGAAGAATTTTTGTCTGGCTGCGAATCAATGCCAACAAAACGCTTCCAATGTTCAAACCATTTTGCATCAATAATAACATATTTATCATTTTCTTGTTGTTCACGAGATAATAATTTAACATATTGATCAACTGGATTTGATGGCATAGTGGATGTGTATTATTTATGATTTTTTGAGGATAGTAGAAGTAAGCGCCAAAGTAAACAGTTGATAGAAAGAAAAGAAAAATCTAGAAATGAGTCAATTCTTATAAATTACTAAATTGACAAATAAATCTGTTGTTTAGTTCTAAACAATGTACTATTCAAGAAAAGATGAAATGTTTAGCAACAAATATTTGCGCCTACTAAACGAATTTATTAGCGATGTGTCAGTGTCATTACATATATGAGAAAAATCTACACCATCCAATAATCACGATGCTAAAAATTCAGTCTATTCGTTAAAAGTTACTCTTAAGAATAATGCAAAAAATTACAAAGGACGTTTTTTATAAAAAAAAGAAAAAGAAAACGAGAGAAACATTGAAATTAAGATGCATAGATGACTTAATTAGGTATTCTATGGATTCAAGAAGAAGAAGTAGTCCAATACAAGTTCTTTTCTTCTCTACTCATTTAATCTCATCATTAAAGCAGATAAATGATCGGTGGTGTATTTATCTATAATCATAAAGGCGAAGTTCTTATATCAGTAAGTTTTGAAAAACAAAACGTTTTACTTAATTCAAATGAATGTTGTCTATGATCTTTTTTCTTGTTCTCGTAGCGTGTTTATCGTGATGATATAGGACGTAATGCAGTTGATGCCTTTCGTGTTAATGTTATTCATGCAAGACAACAAGCACGTTTTCCTGTTGTTAATATAGCTCGAACAAGCTTTTTCTATACAAAACGTTCGAACATATGGTTATGCGCTGTTGCTAAACAAAATATAAATGCTGCCATGGTCTTTGAATTTTTAAATAAAATGATCGATGTTATGCAATCGTATTTTGGTAAAATAAGTGAAGAAAATGTGAAGAATAATTTTGTTTTAATCTATGAATTATTGGATGAAGTACTTGATTTTGGTTATCCACAAAATAGTGATACAGGTGTATTGAAAACGTTTATAACACAACAGGGCGTACGACCGGTGACACGTGAAGAGCAAACGAATGTGACATCGGCTGTAACAGGTCAAATTGGATGGCGACGTGAAGGTATTAAATATCGTCGTAATGAATTATTTCTTGATGTTATTGAATCAGTGAATTTACTTATGTCGCAACAAGGTCAAGTATTAAGTACACATGTTGCAGGTCGAGTTGTTATGAAAAGTTATCTATCGGGTATGCCTGAATGTAAATTTGGTATTAATGATAAAATAACGGTTGAAAATCGGACAAAAACTCAACTCGATTCCAACAATCCGAATAATAACAATTCAACCAATCCATCAACAACAACAAAAACAGCTATTGCAATCGATGATTGTCAATTTCATCAATGCGTTAAATTATCAAAATTTGAATCGGAACATTCAATATCATTTATACCACCCGATGGAGAATTCGAATTAATGCGTTATAGAACAACCAAAGATATTAGCTTACCGTTTCGTGTCATACCATTAGTACGTGAAATAGGTCGAACAAAAATGGAAGTTAAAATTGTTGTTAAATCCAATTTTAAACCAACCCTTATTGGACAAAAAATTGAAATACGTATACCAACACCACCAAATACATGTGATGTACAATTATTGTGTATGAAGGGAAAAGCAAAACATAAATCATCGGAAAATGCTATCGTATGGAAAATGAAACGTATGGGTGGAATGAAAGAATCACAGTTGAGTGCTGAAATTGAATTATTACCGAATGATAAGAAAAAATGGAATCGTCCACCGATATCAATGAGTTTTGAAGTTCCATTTGCACCATCCGGTTTTAAAGTTCGGTATCTTAAAGTATTTGAACATAAACTTAATTATTCGGATTCGGAAACAGTCAAATGGGTACGATATATTGGTAAAAGTGGTTTATATGAAACACGATCTTAGGAAAAATTAATTATTTTTGTTCGATGTCATTCATTGTGTTCTGTTGACTTTATTTTCTTATATTTACATTCCGTATTTAACAGCAGATTTCTTCTTACCTTTCTATATAATTTCTTCTTTTCTTTTTTTGCTCGTGTTTGATCACTATTTACCTAGAATATATATATATATATATATAAATTTAATAAACTTTGCAATTCTTTCCTGATTGAAAATAATCAATAATTATAAAATTTAATTTCTTATGTAATTTCATAGGACTATTAGATAACACATTCACAGAGATAGACAGAGAGATATGAGGTTTTTTTCTTCTCTTTATATTATGTAATTGTAACTTGATACAACGGTGATAGTACTTTGTTTGTGTTAAGTTTAAGTATTAATTGCTTTACGTCTGATATGAAATTTAGCAAAAAAAAGAGATGACTTAGTAACAATCATTAAAATGCACCAAAAAGGATTCAACTAATGAATAAGAATGCATCGAAGGCTTCTATAAGAATGAATAGTTAATTATGGAAATTTCCCATTTTTTGATGCGCTCGTATATCTACAACATTTGAATCGAACTAATCTTGTCAATGTCTTTCTTTGTGCATAGGTTGAACTGGAAAATCAATTCTCTTGAGAGAAACCAGTGATTCGATTTCAAAAATGTCTTCATCGGAAAACCTCGATATTCAAATTCCTCTTATGATTATCATTTATGTTACATTACATGATTTACAGAGTGGTGAATTATTTGACCGGAAGCTGTGACTGACAGATTAGTATTTAAAAAAAACCGAGATAGTATAAATGAGGGTAATTATCAGATTCTTCTTCGTCTTCTAACGACGAAGCAAAGATTGTTAATCAAAGCGCAGAGCTGTTCTTTTTGCTAAACTGCTATTTGCTCCCGAAGAAAATTTATTCTAAGACTTATAAAAGTAGTCGATTGAGTATATGGGGGAGCTTGGTTCCGCTATTGTAAACACTTACAAGAATCCCACTAGATATTTATCAAGGGAGTTTTTATTTCTGACAAATGTTTCCCACGTGTAAGATGATTGCTAGTTTTCTATAAATAGTTGCCTTCTCGGAGATTCAAAATAAATTTCTGTTTTGTTACTTGTGACATACTGTCAAATTTAGATACAGACCAGAGGTAAAGTAATTAAATTGTAGATAAATCTATGTCAAATATCCCGATATTTCTCAATCTAGCATATTAGTAAATAATATAACCCTCGAATATATATAGTTCATTTCACATCAGTCTGTAAATAAGTATTAAAATAAACTATTATAGATAATTCACTACATTTTACAAAAAAAAAGATCTATGACATCAAAGGAAACTATTTCCAAATGATCAACTTGCTTTCGGTACAATTTTAATTACATTTGGATAAAAATTGGAGTTTTAATTTTATCGATGAGTGACTCAATAGAGAAGTTACTCAAAAGAACCTCTGTTTTACGCATAACTTAAAAAAGATTGTATTTTATCTAGGTTCATTTGTTTTGCATTTGCAGCTTATTTTACTTTATTAAAAAACATCAGTTTGAATAACAATATAAGTCTCACTCATCAAATTTTACTGAGCTCATCTCGATAGAGGCCACTGACATCCTACTCAAATTGGACACATCTTCTCGAAAATGCCAGGAAAGAATATACGACAATAAATACTATTTTTATTTGATGAACGTATATTCAAGAGAAAAATTTGATGAAATTTAAACTTTAAAAAATAATCATTAGAAGTGTAGTTGCTAAGATACTTCACATGAGCAAAAATGTAGACAGGATTACATCGATTTATATTAACTATAGAACAAATTTGCCTTGAACATGGCAGCTAGTGCAGGGATAGCATCTGCTTTATTAGGTCCATTAGCTCCAGTGCCACTGGCAAGTCCAGCAGCAGCAGCAAAAACAGATGTGACACCAACTGCAAAGAAAACTATGGAAGAATTATTGGCGGAAATCGAGACATTAAAAACTGAAGTTTCAACTGCAACGAAGACCTTGGAAAAGATTGAGACTAGCAAAAAGAAGGCTTCAGCTAATCGTGAACGATCAGTTGAAGGTCGTACACAAGTTCGAGATTTAACTGAACGTGTTTCCAATCTTCAAAAACAAATGGATGCAATGACTAAAGATTCAGATCCAAGTTATCCGGGAAAAAAATTTGAAAAATCCAGAAAGTCAGCATTAAAAACATTAACGAGTCTTGGAAAAGATCTTACTCAAGTTGATAAACATCTGGAAAAAGGAATTACAGCAGCACTTCCAGTATCTACTGCATCCCCCGCAGATGTTCAATCAACAGCAGCATCTGGTGTTGATCAACCTGTAGCTGCTCCTAGAGCATCACCTGAGAAAGAAAATAGCAAAGGTGTTGCAGCACTCATAAAAAGATTGCCATTGGGTAAAAAGAAGAAGAAGAAAAAATCCCTCGATTCAGCTGCACCTTCACCAGCAAAACCCACTGATGAAATTCATAATACAGAACAGAAAAAATCGACCGGTCAAGTACCAAGTGAACACGAAGAGGACGCCGACGATGGTGATGATGATGACGAAGAAGAAGATGGCCAAGAGGAGGAACAAGATAGTGATGATGATGATGTAGTAGCAGTTAAAAAGCACGGTAAACAATTAAAAATATTCCAATTATTAATATTTAAAAACTTGTTTTTTAGTCCCTGAAAAGCCACCTGCAATAATAAAGAAACCTGAACCAATAGCTGTACCTTCAAAGAAATCACAAGTATCGGATGTCGACAGCGATGGCAGTGAATACAGCGATGAAGATGATGATGATATTAATGATTATCGTCAATTACACAGTGAACTTCAAAGTCAAACACCAGCTGACGTACATCCAAAAGATGTTCATAGTCAAGGTCATCGATCGCGTTCACCAACAATACCCTATAGTAATAAGAAAGTACCAGCAGTTAAAACTGATTTAACACCATCATCTTCACCAAAAATGAAAAAGACTGCAACTATAGTGCCACCCACTCCACCTTCACGTAAAAAAACACAAAGTCCCAAAGGACGTCCTGAAGTGCCAATCGTCAAGAAAAAGAAAACTAACGAAAGTGAAGAAGAAGATTCCTATTACGAAGAAGACGAGAGAGAAGGAGGAGATCATGATTATAACGAGGATGAAGAAGAAGAAGAACTTCAACATTTACATAAACATGATGAACATGAAGAAGAAATATCTGAACATGAATATGATGAACAAGAAGAAGAACCAACATCGGCTAATGCACATGTACAAGAACTTCGTACGAATAAATATTCACCAGGAACACAATTTATTGTTACACATGATTTAATTGGGGAACAAACTGGTGATTTGACTGTACATAGAGGTGACATCTTAACACTTGTTGAACAACGTCCTGATGATTGGTGGCTATTTAAAAATGTTCCTGCACAACTAGAAGGTTTAGTCCCGATTAATCTTATTCAGTTGTATTCGAAACAACAAATACGACAACGAATAAAACCAAGTACATCGGTGATAACACTGGTCGATGCATTTAAAAATAAAAATAATATTCCTGACGGTTTTATTGCATCTGATTTAGCACCATTAACAAAAATTGAAGAATATCAATTATGGCGAGCGCTCGTACCGAAAATGACAGAATCAAATCTTGCGTTTACTGATCTTTATTGGCGTGCCGATACCGATAAATTATATGCACAAGAAGTGATCCATCAAAAGATTCTTACGCTTAAAGAATGTGTTAAAATACCAAGAATTAAAGGCGAAGAGGTAAACGATTTTCATTAAATAGAACAAAAAATAAACACCAGAGAATTGCACAGGAGAAACAGAATTAATCTCAGTTAGAATTGAATTTATATTTTTGTTTCTACAATTTTATAAATAATTTCTTTTTTTGTTTTTAATGGCAGTTTAAATCTATTTGGTATGTAGCTATTGCTCAATCGATAATTTATTAGTGGATTTATTTTTCCTACGTAGTACACATGCATTTTTCATTTAGGTTCGTGTTCTTGATCGATGTGTTCGTCTATGTCTTTGTGATGGTTTGGATATCGTTTCGAATATTCATACAGTTCGAGCAATTATCCCATCAAAAATCGACCCACGAGAATTAACCGAAGATTGGCATTTCGCACGCAATAGTCTAAATACATTAATTGATGAACAATCTGAATTATTAATGCGTTCGAATTTCTCTGGACCGGGTCAAAAATTAAAATTACTGATTGAATTATCGCAATGGTGTCAATCAACTGTAACGCAAGAAAAATGTGAAATTGGTTGTGGCTGGGCAATGGTTTCGATTGATGACGTGGAACCACCTCTAATAACTGATACAAAAAATTATAATGAACTTTTACGTGGTGGACACACAGATCAGGAAGGAGTTTTACTTGATCCACAATATAAGGTTCTTCGTTCGAATGGAATATCAGGTATGATCGATCGTTATAAACGAGCACGTGTTAAATTTTCAATTGAATCACGTGAAAATGATGTTGATATACTGTATGATAATTTACCGATTCAATCAACGATTGCACCGATGAATGCAATAAAACCTGTAGCGTTTTTCCGGAATGAACTTGCTTTTCAATTTCATAAACGTCATCATCCAACTGGTCTATCAACAACACCAATTGATTCGATATTTTTGGGTACATTTTTTCAAGCACTTTCACAAGCTGACCTTATCTATACGCTGAATAGAATTTTTCGTATACGAAAGGCTCGTTATCTTAGTGCATCATCAAGTAGTCAACAGCAACGAGAATTATTTATAAAAGTTTATGAACAATTTATTTATCCTCTACTTCAATATCGACAATTGCCAACATATGATTTTCATGATATAGCATCATTGAATGAACGACGAAATTTAATTAACGATATAATTAAACGACAAACAGCAAAAAAGAAAGCACCTGCAGAAGATATTCTTTCAATATTACTTGATCCAAATTTAACAGATAAATGGACACCATTTACAACGGACGAACTTTGTTTTACATTACAAAAATATATTCATGATTCTATACCTGATGTTGTAGCGTAGATATTAGTGTTTTGTAAAAAAATAATAATAGGGTTACATGAAAAGACTATCGTGCAAATAAACGAATTTCAGGTTTTAGATTTTATGATAATTGTTTTCAAAAGGACCCGCTGAAACGAATAAAATAAGGGTGTGGGCGTGGCTGGGCTTGAGGATGAAGGGTTGGTGTGAGTGAGTGTCAGTTCTTCGGCTCATGTAAACTCAAACTATAGTTTGAGGGTGGGTGTGGATGTAGATGCAAATATATCCAGAGAGAAATCTAAACCCACACTCCTCCCAATTGGGTGGAATTGCGATAAACAATTCTTTTTTTCCTCATTAGAAACTATCGTTCATACGATCGCTGGCATCAGCGAGACTTTTCAATCGAACACATAATTTAATCTAATATTTTCGATGAGACTATTTCCAATTTGAAATTTCATGTCTATTAAAGAGCGTTTCCTGTAGCCATCATTCTTGAAACACAATATTAACCATGCTTGAGTAAAACTTAACGATTTTCGAAATTAGCAATACCCGTTTGACTTCAAAACAAATATCATATTCAAACGCTGCACAAACATATGAGTTTGTATGGATATTATGGTGGATGCATATATGACACAAAACTAGTAGGGGCGACTAGTCGTGAGTGGCTCCCCAGAGGGGTGTCGACGGACGACTGACTGCTCAGTTAAAAATCTGTTGTGATTATAAGACTACAGGTCTTGCAGACTTATAGAATCGTTACACGTTGTCTCTATCAGAGAAGTTAAAACAATTTTCGAAAATGGTAAATATCTTCAAGTTCTTCCGAAGAAAGGTCATGAAATAATTGCTCAACTCGTGTGAAATATTTGAAATTTATATTTGTCGTGATGATCTTAATAAGTTTAGTTTTTTCTGATTGCGGGTGGATTTGATTCAAAAGATGTAAATCTTAGATTTATCTATCTGTGAACGTGCACCCGGGAATGAATATATGCATTCTAGATGGTAAGCGCACCGAAACAAAATGAACTCACATAAGATTGAGCAAAAATGAGGACAAATCTAACCGAAATCGAGTTAGAAAAAGTCAGTTTGATTTACTCTCTGATCTACTCGTGCAGATTCGTGTTAAATATCTAGTTAGTTCATAGATCAATTTGAGTTGTAGCTTTACTAAAATGAGGCATTTCGATCATAGCTCTCTTGAATGGGTCTTTTTATTCACTCCGTTGGCAACCTGATCGAAAATTTTCGAAGCATAGCTTGAGCTGTAGCAGACCGGATGCACTTAACTTCACCATTGCCATATAGTATGAGTAAGTACTACTTAAATGGTGTTTTGTTGGTGATATTTCCAAGCAAGTTTTCTTTTTGTGGTCGGTTGTCAATCGTTTTTGCCATGCAAATCATTTCGAAGCTATAAAATGTGAAGTCTCTCAGCTAGATAGTTTTAGATAGCTACGTTCTACATGACTACATCCTTTCAGTAGGGGGTTGGCGACGCTTACGTCGCGTTACCTTGTGGATTAACATACTGTATCTAACGTAGCAACACTAGCAATCTAAATCAACTATTTACTAAATTTCAGAGCTTTTTCATCGATTCTTTCATAAATAAAAATACATGTTCTTTCAGTTTATTCATGAAAAGGACTTATATCTGCAACGAGGAGTGTCACTTTTAGGGTGTATGCGGGCACATCTTTTTCCATTGGCGATGATAAAAAATGGTAGACTAAATTTTAAATAGTATAGATATTATTTTAGTAGTTTTAAAATCAACTGACAGAAACTTCATCAAATTCTCTTTATTTATTCATTCGCACCTCTCGAAGGTTTCTATTAATTTCTCAAAAAAAAAATAATTTACAATAAAAATAAGCAGCTAGGTGATATTTGAGAAGAAAGATTAAAATTAAATAGCTGTTTATCGAGATGCTTTCCTTTTCTTTGCTTGTTGTTCAAGAAAATAGATTACTCAGAATAAATTAGCTAAGTGACTATTATATAGCTAATCAGTTTCATTAAATAGTGTTGGTAATCTTTAAATGGTGCTTGAGATTAAATAGCAATGTTCTTAGGGATAAATACCACAGAAAAGTAGTAGACTGTTTACTGAAATTAACTATCCAGCAATAGAGTTCTCGTTGATATTTGAGTTCACTATCTATATCAATTTTTCTTTACAAAATGTGCGTATCTTTTGGGAATAGGTCATCTTTGAGATTAAAGAAATATTTCTCTGATGAAAACTGACAAGTCCGCATATTTATATTGCAAGACGTTACAGATAAAGATTTGATGAAGAAGTCATAAAAGACGTATATCTAAGAGATTATATTCTCTGCAGTTAGAAAATCGTACTCAGACACAAACACATCTATAAATGTGATGAGTTGTTGTTGATTCTCACTCATTTTTCTGCCTTTTTTTTTTATAAATTGACAGACTTTGTAGCACTTGTTTGCATTCATTATATTATTTGTGAGCGATGAAAGATATAATTAAACTAAGTTTGATGCTGACTTTCGAAATCCCAGCAATGCTTTTCTCAATTCTGATCATTGCTTATTTTGCTAGGAATCATGAAGTTCGTTCAAAATTTAAAAATCATGGATGGTTTGTTCTAATCATCGTAAATTTCACTCAACTTCTACTTGATTTACCGATGCCAATGAATTATTATCGTATGGGAACGGTATGGCCAGCATCTAATGAATATTGTGTATGGTGGACATGGTGTGAATTCTCATTGAATACCATCGGGTTATTTCTAATGGCATGGGTTTTAGTTGAACGATATGTACTCATCTTTCATCCACACGCGATGATTCAAAGCCGATGGAAAAAATGGATATTTCATTTCACACCAATCATTCTTTCGCTGATTTGGGCACCAACACTTTATCTTGTGTTAGTAGTCATTAGTCCATACTGCACGAATGAATGGGATTTTGGTTCTGTTAATTGTGGTATTCCGTGTTACTTCACGGTAAACTTTCTCGGTCAATTTGATTTCATCTTCAATATCGCTTTTCCAGTGATGATAATTACGCTTGCCAATCTAGCATTAATAATCCGACTGACTTACCAAAAGATGTCTCGTCATCAAATAAAAAATTGGCGACGTCATTGCAAAGTGGTATTCCAATTAGGGATCGTTTCATCACTTTACTTGGCATTTTGGCTACCAACGATGATAACGGAGCTCGTCCAAATAACTGTGATGCCTTCATTTATGATGGATCAGTTGCAAACCATTCTGTTTGTTGTCTACTTCATCCCACTTTTATTGCCAATGATATGCCTCAGTACACAGCCTGAATTAGTCAAGAAAATAGCGAACTCCATTACGATACGAAAGCTCAATGTAATTGGTATCACTACTGTTAACCGAGGCGTGGAACAAGCAGTGACGAATACACATGCTCAGTAAATTTTGCTTTTGAACAATAAAAATAAAACACATATTTCTCTTTTATTTTTTGAACGAAAAAAATGTAATATAAAAACATGAATCGTGCGTAATAAAGGGCGTGAATGTTGATGCGTGAGCAGAGGTGGGTTGGGCTTTAAGCTGAAGGTGTAGGTTTGGTTGTGTGCTAGGTCTTTCTCTCATGCAAACTGAAGCCAGTTACCACCCTTACCACACTCACACTCAACTTTAACAATCATCGAAATCAATTTTCTCGTTGATATTGTTTCATTGTTTTAAAAAATCCATTACATCTACTGACAGCATAGAATTGTAAGAGATTTTTCAGTCGTCAAAAAATCTTCACTTTACTAATGAAATATTTTTCTAATATTAAATATTTTATGTTTGACCGCTGAGAAAATCTTGAAAAGGTCTTTTCAAAATTCCATTCCACCAAATAATGTGTAAATATAAAATGGCGCACCATTAGTTAAAAAATTAAGAAGTAAAACAAAGTTGTAGACGAAATTGGTGATAGCCATCTGTGATTTTGATTTCGATGCATTGATTGTTATTGTTTCATACAATTTAATCCATTTTATTTAAACCATGTCGTTGTCTAGCTTGGCTTGATCTTTGAGTTGCTCTAGTCGATATATCTGCATGTTGAATGCGACCTCTTACCTGACGTATATTATTGATTGTCATCAAGCCAAATATTAACATAAGTAATACAGGTATGAAAACACTTACAAATGTAAATAATATATCTGATACAAGTTGACATGCTATGGTGCTTCCATAACATTGTAATGGCGTATTAATGATATTTGGTTCATAACAATAGATAATATGAGAAAAGACAACAATTGCGGAAATAACAACCATAATGATACTTCTTACAGCATTTTTCATGGTACTAATTTGTCGATAGTGAATATTAGTACTGGACAATAACCACCGATCGGTGATAGCTAAAAGAATGAGCCAGAATGCTACGGGTCTTGCTACATTAAGAATATAAATTCGAAATTTACAAATGAATCTATCCGTATTTGTTAGGTCGGCGCTCCAACCATTCAACATTCGTGAAGTAACACCAGAAAGAATCGCAGTTAAATTAGCAACAGATGCGAAAAGAAAGCATATTGTGCACGGGTTTGAACGAAACGAACGCTGAGAAAAAACGAGAATATTAAGTACATTGCCTGTTGTTCCAAAGAGAAAAGTAAAAAGTGATGCATAGCGGCTCATCTGAGTTGAGATATTGTTAATGAATACGATAAAATCATGATCGATTGGCATGATTGAAAGTCGAAAAAAATCTATAAAAATCTAAGAAGTTGACTCAGCTATGATACCACTGTCCATATGAGGATTCTCTTTCTCTTTTTCATTCAGATCATCAAATTCCACATTGACAGCGTCATCATCAATTTTGTCATCATTGACAGGAGAACCTTCTTTCATGACTTCATCATCAGTTGAACTTTCATCGTTGTTGAGCTCCATTGATTGATGAGTCATCATTTTCTTCGATTCAAATGCATGGCACCTTGGACATAACCAGCAAATTCGGGTGTAAGTCGCATCATATTGAGAAATCAAAAATTTTGATAATTGTGATGACACAACTACCACTCCTCTTGGCACACGTGTAGATTTTGCATGCTTTATCGGATGTTCACAAATTTTTCGTTTCGGCATTGGGATAATTTTGAAAAAAAAAGATAAGAATGGGCAATTGATATTTTCTAATATCCAATAATTCATCTCGTAATTTTACTCGTTTGAAATCACGATATTTGTGGATAATACTTTACGTCTACGGGTGTCCTTATAAGGAAATGAAAAATCTATTATTTCGATGATAGTGCCCATTTCGAATTCGTAGTGTCACTTCTACAAGACGATTTAATGGCAAATCGTTCTAGTGACATAGGTAAAGTCATCAGTTCAATATCGTTGTGATAAGATAGTATTATGAAAGTTGTTGCACTCTACGAGAAAGAGAAGATAATAATTCTTCAAATAAATTGAGTGCAGCTGAAGTTGGAAATATGACTGTTGCTATATTCATAGAAAATGACTGAGCACTCAACACTTTCAATAGGATGCGTCTAATGTTTCTCAGGAAATATATTTCTTGACTTGTTTCATATTTTTGAACACAAGAAAAGTCCGAAAAAATAGCTTTTGAAGAAGTTTTAGTCATTTTCCTGATAGTTTTTCTATGCGTAAAAATACACCAGAGAAGTTCCGAAAAATTGCTCAAAAACTCGGAATTTTTAAGACAAAGTATTTCATTTTTTTTCCATCGAAAGTGTTTTCGAGTGCATACCGGCATTTTGAATCGGAAAAAAATCAAAAGAAAAACCTTTCCAAAAAGTGGATGGGTCCTCATGGATTCGCCCGTTAATATTTTATTTCAACGAACGTATATAAGTCAATTGTATTCGATTCTATCCATAATAGTTAAAATCGATTCAATATGGATTATAAATTTAACCAACACTTATAAAATTCCTGCTTCAAATAGAATGTAAAGGAACATTGCAAACAATTACGAATTTAGTCCATTACACCTGAAAACGTTAATACAAGCAACTGGAAATATTCTATTTATAAGCCGGCTTTCGAAATATTCTACTTATAAACCAGCTTTGGCTATATTTTAGACTAACTTTAAGTCAAGTTAAACTAACCTTAGATCCGATTCAAAAACAGCTATGAGTGAAACAAAATTGGAACCTACCTTTTAAAAAATACACCGTATTTCAATCTGTTCAAAACGCGTTGGTTAAAAACGATTTGGTTCTATTTTTCCATTTGGAGTAACTTTGATTCAATCCAAACTCAACTTTGATCTGATCCAAAAACTTATCATACGAAGTGGGACAAAACCGGTGAAGACTAAAAATATCAAGGACTTGAATCAAGATCTATCCAATTGAACGACATACACATCCACTCCAGATTATGCTTTTGGATAAAGTTCTTCTTTTGTGAACTGCTATCTCGAGTGTGTAATTTTTGAAATCTATCCCATTCTATAATTTGTATTCTAATTTGTAATTTTACCTCTTTCTTATTTCAAAACTTGTGCTTATTTGTAATGCAGAGCCCTGAAGAGTGTTTCATTATCTCAATAAATAAATAACACGAAACGCGTCGCCGAAAAAAAAACTCTGCATTTTATTTAATTCAAGCACAAATTTAAATATATAATATAATATTATATCATTTTTCGACTTCGATCGATTACTGAAAAGTAAGAGTTGAGACTAGCACATTGATTTGTCTTTTCGTTAAGAGATAGGTTAATCTGTTTTGAATTTATTTACTGACACCCACACCCACACCCACACACCCTAGTTCATTGTTTCCAAATCAACCACATAGGACTATGAGTAGGCGTGACATTTCATATTTGGAACAGTACAGGACTTTTTCCATGCAAATCACATGATTGTGATTCCTACATGCATGACACACTAAATGACAAAAACCTCTTGTATTTAAACTATTTGGTTTTACTTTCATCTTACATTTTTTCCTTTCCGCGCAAAAGAAAAGGTATTTTATAAACTAATGTTCTTAATCACTTACTTGAATCGAATCGCTCATATCAATACAAAAGGTAGTTGAAAACAATTAGACAAAATTACAATACAGATAAAACACCAGCTTAACATAAATCTACAATGCAAAATCGTTCTCTTCACTGTGATTCGATACAGTTATTTTCCTTAAAATATATTCTCTTGCAACGTAAGTTCAAACTGAATGTTAGTTTGTAATACAAAAAAAAGCTTTGACAGATCAATTTTTATCAACCTCATTCATCAAAAACCACATTCCAATTAGTACCTTAGTCAAAACATTCCTCAGCTACAATCCCGATTCTTTATTATTTTTTTCAATCTGTGCAACAACCATGCAAAAAAATCAGAAATAGGAAAACTTTCCAGCGACGTCAATTCCACACAAAATCCAAACAATCCAAATAATTCAACCATATTTTTCTATTCCAATACTCTTCCGTTGATTCAAAGCGAACTCTCCACAATCATATCACCATAAAAATGAATTACCAAATGCCAAAATATCATTCACCTATGAATAACCAATGACAATAAATCAGCATCCAACTTCAAATACACTACACCACACTATCACTGGATGAAACCATCGATAAACAATACGCTTAACATGTCAATGATCGATAAAACCAGATCACACATGTTCAACATCAACACATCACCCAATATTCGAACCAAAACACGACTCAAATATACGCCAATAACAACATCCATTCCACAAATACGGGGGAGCTAAATTCTACACGTTCATTCTATCAAAATCGAATAATTAACATCAACCAATTATTCAACAATCCATTCGAACCATATCCATCCTTTGAATTCCTTCCATTTCATCTCACCAACACATATACCCACACTAACCAAATAATGCAGCCATACAAAAATGAATGGTCCTAATGAAACAAACATCAAATAACTTGTTTCATTTCATCAAAATGAAATCATTTTCGAATCATTCACACGATAATTCCATTCAAAACAAAATCCTCACGATCAATCAAACATGCAATGAGTTGTTTCACTCCATCAAAATGAAATCATTTTTGAATGATTCCCAATATGATTCCATTCGAAAACGAATGCTGATGATGAAACAAACATGAAGTGATTTATCCCACTGCATGAAATTGAAATCATTTTGAATGATTCGCATCATCATTCCATTCCAAAAAGAATCGTGATGATGAAACAAACATGAAGTGATTTCTTTCAAATCATGACAATGAAATCATATACGGATGATTCGCACGATCATTCCATTCAAAAATCAATGGTGGTGACGAAACAAACAGCAAATGATTTGGTTCATATCGTGACAATCAAATCATTTTAGAATCATTCGCAAGATCATTCCATTCAAAAATAAATCCTGATGGTGAAACAAACACGACATGATTCGTTTCATTCCATGAAAATCAAATCATTCTTGAATGATTCCCATCATCGATCCATTCAAAAATAAATCGTGATGATGAAACAACCATGCAACGACTGCCTTCACTGCATGAAAATCAAATCATTTTGAATGATACGCATCATCATTCCATTCGAAAAAGAATAGTGATGATGAAACAAACATGAAATGATTTCTATCAAATCATGACAATGAAATCACTTTTGGATGATTCGCACGATGATTTCATTCAAAAATCAATGGAGATGCCGAAACACATATGAAATGATTTCTTTCACTGCACAAAAATGAAATCATCTTTGAATGCTTCGCAAGATCATTCCATTCAAAAATGAATGGTGATGATGAAACAAACAAGACATGATATATTTCACTTCATGAAAATGCATACATTCTTGAATGATTTCATCATCATTCCATTCCAAAAACAAAGGTGATAAAGAAACAAACATGAGATGATTTGTTCCACTGCACGAAAATGCAATCATTTTTGAATGATTCGTAAAATCATTCCATTCAAAAATGCATCGTGATGCTGAAACAAACATGAAATCATTCGTTTCATTTCATGAAAATGAAATCATTTTGAATGGTTCGCACGATCATTCCATTCAAAAATGAACCGTGATGATGAAACAAACATGAAATGATTTGTTCCATTTTATCGACACGAAATCATTTTTGAATGATTCGTAGCATCATTCCATTCAAAATGAATCGTGATGATGAAACAAACATGGAATGAGTTGTTTCATTTCATGGAAATGAAATCATTTTTGAATGGTTCGCACGATCATTGCATTCAAAAAATGAACCGTGACGATGAAACAAACATGAAATGTTTTGCTTCATCTCATCAAAATCAAATCATTCTTGAATCAAACGCAAGATCATTCGATTCAAAAATCAATGGTGATGATGAAACAAACATTAAATGATTTGTTTCATCTCATGAGATTGAACTCATTTTTGTATGATTCACATAATCCTTCCATTCAAAAATGAATGGTTATGATGAAGCAAACATGAAATGATTCATTTCACTTCATCAAAATGAAATCATTTTTGAATCATTCGTAGCAACATCGTTCCATTCAAAATGAATCGTGATGATGAAACAAACATGAAACAACTGGTTTCACTTCATCAAGATGAAATCACTTTCGAATGATTCGTAGCATCATTCCACTCAAAAATAAATCGTGCTAGTGAAACAAACATGAAATGTTTCGTTTCATTTCATTAAAAGAAATCATTCTTGAATGATACCCATCATCCTTCGATTCAAAATAAATCGTGCTGATGAAACAAGCATGAAATGATTCGTTTCACTCCATGAAAATGAAATCGTTTTTGAATGAATCACATAATCATTCCATTCGCCATTGAATGGTTATGATGAAACGAACATCAAACGATCACCTTCAGTTCATGAAAATGAAATGATTCTTGAATGACTCCTAGCATCGTTCCATTCCAAAATGAATGGTTTTAATGAAACAAACATGAAATCATGTGTTTCATTTGATGAAAATGAAATCATTATTGACTGATTCCACCACCATCCCATTCAAAAATGAATGGTTATGGTGAAAGAAACACGACATGGTTCGGTTCACTTCATCAAAATGAATTATTTCTTGAATGATTCGCATCATCATTCAATTCAAAAATCAATGGTGATGATGGAACAAACATAAAATGACTCGTTTCATGTCTTGAAAATGAAATCATTCCTGAATCGGTCGCATCAATCTTCCATCCAAAAATAAATCGTGATGATGAAACAAAAATGAAGTGATTCGTTTCAGTTCATGAAAATGGAATCATTCCTGAATGATTCGCACCATCATTACATTCAGAAATCACTGCTGACGATGAAACAAAAATGAAATGATTTATTTCACTTCATGAGAATGAAATGATTTTGGATGATTCGCACAATGATTCCATTCAAAAATCAACGGTGGTGACGGAACAAATATCAAATGATTTGTTTCATTCCATAAAGATGAAATCATTCTTGCATGTTTCGCACGATCATTGCGTTCAAAAACCAATACTGGAGACGTAACAAACGTGCAATGATTTGCTTCATTTCATCATGATGAATTCATTTTTGAATCATTCGCAAGATCATTCCATTCAAAAATGTATGATAATCATCAAAGACGAGGAAATAATTTGTTCCACTTCATCAAAATGAAATTGTTTTCGAATCATTCGCATCATCGTTCCATTCAAAAATGAATCGTTATCATGAAATAAACATGGCATGATTTGTTTAATTTCATGAAAATGGGATGATTTTTGAATGATTCACATAATCATTCCATTCAAAAATGAATCGTGATGATGAAACAAACATGAAATGATTTGTCTCATTCCATGAAAATGAGATCATTTTTGAATGAATCTTAGCATCATTGCATTCAGAAATGAATGGTTATAATGAAACGACCATGAAATGATTTGTCTCACTCCATCAAAATGAAATCATTTTTGAATGATTCGTAGCATAATCATTCCATTCAAAAATTAATGATTATAATGAAATAAAGATGAAATGATTCGTTTGATTTCATGAAAATGAAATGATTTTTGAATGATACACATAATTATTCCATTCAAAATTGACTGGTTATGATGAAACAAACATGAAATGATTTGTTTCACCTCATGAAAATGAAATCATTTTTGAATGATTCGCATCATCATTGCATTCAAAAATGGTTGGTTATGCTGAAACAAATATGAAATGATTCGCTTCACTTGATGAAAGTAAAATCATGTTTGAACGATTCACATAATCATTCCATTCAAAAATGAATGGTTATGATGAGAGAAACATGAAATGATTTGTTTCATTTCATAAAAATGGAATCATTTTTGAATGATGCCCATCATCCTTGCATTCAAAAATAAATGTTGACGTTGAAAGAAACATGGAATTTTTTTTTCATTTCATGGAAGTGAAATCATTTTTGAATGATTCGCACCATGAGTCCATTCAGAAATCAATGATGATGATGACACAAACATGGAATGATCTGTCCTTTTCATTAAAATGAATTCATTTTTGAATGATTCGCAAGATCATCCCATTCAAAAATGAATGATAATCATGAAACAAAGATGAAATAGTTTTGTTTCATCTCATGAAAATGAAATCATTTTTGAATGATTCGTATCATCATTGCAGTCAAAAATGATTGGTTATGATGAAACAAACATGAAATGATTTGTTTCATTTTATGAAAATGAAATCATTTTTGAATGATTCGCATTATCATTGCAGTCAAGAATGATTGGTTATGATGAAACAAACATGAAATGATTTGTTTCATTCCATGAAAATGAAATAATTTTTGAATGAGGCGCACCATCGTTCCTTTCAATAATCAATGATGATGATGAAACAAACAGGAAATGGTTTGTTTCATTCAAAAAATGAAATAATTTTTGAATGATTCACATAATCAGTCCATTCAAAATTGAATGGTGATGACGAAAGAAAAGATGAAATAATTTGTTTCATTTCAAGAAAATGAAATGTTTTTCGAATGATTCCCATAATCATTGCATTCAAAAATGAATGGTGATGATTAAACAAGCATGGAATGATTCGTTTCGTTTCATGGAAAATGAAGTCATGTTTGAATGAGTCGCACGATCAATCCATTCAAAAATGAATGGTGATGAGGAAACAAACATGAAATGATTCGTTTCATTTGATAAAAATGAGATCATTTTTGATTGATTCGTAGCATCAATTCATTCAAAAATCAATGCTTATGATGAAACAACGATGAAATGATTTGTTTGACTTAATTAAGATGAAATCATTTTTGAATGATTGTCACCATCACTCTATTCAGAAATGAATGGTGTTGATGAAACAAACATCAAATGATTTGGTTCATTTCATGATAATGAAATCTTTTTTGGATCATTCGCAGGATCGCTGCATTCAAAAATGAATGGTGATGATGCAACAAAGATGGAAGGATTTTTTTCAGTTCATCAAAATGAAATCGTTTTTGAATCATTTGGAGGATCGTTGAATTCAAAAATGAATGGTGATGATGAAACAGAGGTGGAAGGATTTGTTTGATTCCATCAGAATGAAATCATTTTTGAATCATTCGCAGGATCATTCCGTTCAAAAATGAGTGGTGATGATGAAGCAAACATGAACTGATTTGTTTCACTTCATCAAAATGGAATCTTTTTTGAATTCTTGTTACGGTCAATGGTTTATTCATGTATATTGTTGAACCAGTTTGTGTGGAAGTGGGCGTAGTAGTGTATGGGGATGTTGTCGTAGTTGAATAGGATTGATAGGCGTCGTCGGGTTTGTCTGGCGTTTTTTGGTTTTGAATGTCGGTTTTGTGTTCCACTAAAATTTGAAAGAAACATGTTTTTGTATGTGCTAGTGTGTTGTGTTGTATATGATAGCTCGGTCGTATAATGTTGTGCTGATAGATTGAACCTAACTGTTAATAGTAACTGTTATTAGCCACTAGGAAAATTCGTACGGCCATCATGGGCCAACGACATTTATTTCTTCTCCATTCTGTCTAAAAGTTTTCGATAACATCTACCTATGTTATTGTAGCTGGTGACCATGGCAGTCGAAATTTCATGGAGGAGGGAAAAGAAAATTACCTGCGTTATAAGCCGCAGTGTGAAGAATTTTTTTGCGTTCTGTTCTTTATATTTGTTTGTTAGAGCTACATCGTATGACTAGTTATCTAAGTGTTGGTTGTTTTTCCTGAATGAAGAGCGCTGTGTTGTGAGGAGAAAAATGTTTTGTGTTGTGGCGATAAAGGATATTGTGATTTGGTGTCAATTTTTTTCTGTTTTCGAAAAAAGCGGAACTATTTTTAAGAATGGACTTGAGAAATATGATGGAGCCGGTTGTAATACTCCATTGTATTTGAAATTGGTTTTTGTCAGTATTTCGTTTGAATGAAATTGAAATCGGTGTTTGGAGCGTTGTATTGAATTTTTTTGCCGATATGTGAAGAATGAAGGTGGCTAATATGTTTTTTCTTGCGTTTAAAGGATATATGATTTACTTGAAAAATGTGTTGATTAGTTTGTCATGTTGATGAGACTTTTATGAGAAGTGAGCTGATGTTTTTGTGGAGTGATGAGATAGGATTGGACTGAAGAGCATGTTTTGAATGTTGTTAGAAGTTGAGCAGGTTTTAGGAATGGATGGAAAGGAAATCCTTATAAATGGCACATGTCTGGTTTTGTATTTAACATCGTTGTTATCGATCGATATATTTTCAATAACAGTATTTGGATGGTCGGAAAAATGAACGATTATATTGAAGATTGCTTACGCGCAATTAGTCTATTTTATCGTATTGAAGCGTTATGATGTTTGTGGATATTTATAGAGCCCGTCGGTTCCAACAATTTTTCAATTCGGACCCGGAAAAAGAAATACGTGTGGTTTCATCATTTTTAAAGGTATTGCACCGTTCGAACATGTATCTTGTAGAGAAATGATTCCTCTATCAGCTCATGTATAATACAATATTTTGAGTGTCCAAAATTTTCTTATTACAAACCTCCGGGTCCAAGTTTGAACCCCGTCGAACCCGGAAAATGTGGACCCGAAAGTTTGTAATAAGAAAATTTTGGACACTCAAAATTATTGTATGTTTTTAAATACATGAGCTGATAGAGGAATCATTTCTCTACAAGATACATGTTCGAACGGTGAAATACATTTAAAAATGATGAAACTACACGTATTTCTTTTTCCGGGTCCGAATTGAAAAATTGTTGGACTCGATGGGCTCTAATGCCGATATTCTGTTTATCTTCTAAAGGGTTTAATCGCATTCGAATCTGGCGTTGTTTGAAGAGGTTAAATTTATTTCAGTGCAAAAATGGTATAACTTTTTACATGTTTATCGATCTGTTAAGATCAAGAGAACGAAAAAATTGAGATGGCAATAAAACGTAATGAATCTACTCGAACGGTGCAATATTACGATAGCATTCGTTATATTCAAAATATTGTTTCATGGGAATGGAAACTTCATCAGAAATAAATTCTTTCCAGTAAAGTATTCGCGTTCACATCTTACGTCATAATCATCAAATGTCATCGAAACGAGTTGTTTGATAGACTCTTAAATGTTTTGCAAAACAAATTAAACCATCAGATGTCCTCAACTTCCTTCCTCAGACACATTTAATAATAAAGTATATATTCAGCATAATGGTGTTGCAATGGATGCTCCTTTAGCTTCAATCATAGCCGACGTATTCATGACCAATCTTGAAACAACATTGATGGATGACTTAATCAATGCAGGTGTTTGTGAATGGCATCGATATGTTGACGATACCTTCGTACTTGTTAATTCAATTATTTGTATCGATAACATATGATCAATTTTGAATAAATTTCATCCGTCCATCAAATTTACTTACAAGATTGAAGATGGTGATAAATTGGAATTCCTTGATGTTCTTATTACTCGATCAACTGGATATCAATTGTTTGAAACAACAATTTATCGTAAACCAACTTATGCCGACTTGTTAACGAATTATCACTCTTATGTTTCAATGCAATATAAGAATGGTGGTATAATTACTATGGTAAATCGAGCACTTATTATATGTTCAACTTATACATCATTAGCTGCTGAATTTAATGAAATACGTCGAATTGGATTACTGAATGGTTATACATCATCTTTTATCGACACTATCATTGGCATTAAACTTAGTCAATATCGAAAAAAGAACAATGATGTTATACAATCACCACAAAGTGGACCTGATGTTAAAAAACGAATGTATGTTGAAATACCATTTATTGAAAATGCTACCAAAGAATTTAGAAATAAAATAACGCATTTATGTAACAAACTTCGACTAGATCTAGATATCCAATTTTTCATGAAACCATCACCAGCTGTTCAAATGTTATACCAAACGAAAGATCCCACTAATAAGAAAATGAAATCTGATGTCGTTTATTCAATAAAATGTACACAATGTCAACATTCATACATTGGTAAAACAGAAAGACAATGTATAAAACGTTTGCATGAACATGGTGCACCTAAGTCATCAAGTCAACCAGAACAGCAACACCCCAAACAACAGGATGACAATTGCACCCATCAATCTAATAACATCGTAGAATTAAGAAGATCAGGTCGCTTAAAAAACAAACCAACAACAACTATAACAACTCCATCCGTCATAAAAGAAATAACGTTTGCAGTTCAACAACATCAAATCGAAACACGTCACCAAATGAACTGGGATAACTTTCGTATTTTCATGCAAGATAACCATTACTATCGGTTACTCATCAAAGAATCATTACTAATAAAGGCTTATGAGCCAGAACTCAATAGAACAACACACTCTGTACCATTAATCGTCTTTTCTGATGGGCTACAGAAAGAGTTACTACCTAGGCCATTTGATAATGATTAATACTTTGTAATTCTATTGTATTTGTTATCTTGTTCTCTCTTTCTATTTTCGTGTTATTTTCATACACTTTGTACATATTCAAATAAATTCTTGATAATGAAGTTTTAATTACTTCGAAACGTCGAAAATCTACGTATTTTTCTTTTCTATTGTAATTCACATTACATTGAAAAAATGATTCTATTTCAAGCCGCTGTTATTTATCAATTTACACTTAAATTATTGCCCTAAAAAATATCTAGAGCTTTTTTCTGAATTGATAATCTAATTTGAGTATACAATAAATTATTCTTATAATTTTTCGAACTTTTGCTGCTTTTTAAAGTTTTTAAAATTCTTCCATTAAAAAGTAGCAAAATAGTGCAGTAACTTTTATCACTACAATGGAACTAACCACTCGGAAATAGTTTAACATTTAAATTTTGTGCAATTATGTGCTAATATACTGTGTGGGTTTGCTGAGAATAACACAAGGACATCCATTGAGCTGCACCTGATTTTGAAAGGTTCCGCCGGCCATGGTTCCGTGAGGGTAGTATTAGAAGCATCGCGAAAAGTTAGAATTGAAAACAGATTAATAGTTCTTATCGTCAACACCAATCATCGAAAGCTTTCAACTAGAAAAATTTCACTGTTTAATACTTTTATAAAGTCAGAGTTATTTTTAGATTGAAAAGGTACTGTATATCGTTATGATCAGACATCTCTTGAAAGGAATATTTTTTAATGGTAACTGTATGTGTGTGTGTTAAATGAGAGAAACATTCATGGCGATGATGCAGTCTTATGATAAACAATATCAAACAAGAAATGAAAGATTCATGTTGTGTCTATAGAAAAGTGCATATTTCAAAACAAAACAATGATATAGAGAAAGTTGTAAGTTTTAGAAACTGAGTTGCACCGTCTACGAGTCGTTTAAGAATGATTTGACTTTTAATTCATAATCTATCAGATCATCCAGATACAGAAAAATATTTAATTATGCATTAAAGATTTTATGCAGATTTTCACAGTCTCTATCGCAATGTCCTTGAAAAAGACTTTCGATTTTTAAGGATTTGAAGGCTATTCACAAAAATTGAAATAAAAATAAGAATAAGAATTAATCATAATTCTTATATTTTTTCAATATGGCAATACGATTTGTTTCGTTGAACTATTTGGTGTTATAATTCAAAGATTTGATGCGTTTTGGAAGTTTCCTAGAAACTCGATTAAACACTATGGTAGGTAGGTAAATTCCCTGTAGAGAATTTTTCAATTTATAGTTAAAAACTCTTTCGATATAACAGTTGATCCATAGAGAATTACTCTCGAAGTATTTCTTTAATATCTCTTTCAATCATTGTCAAATGAGAATCTGTAAAATTCACTACAACACCCTATGACATGTTCCCTTCACAGGCATAACGAAGAAACTATATCTGATCAGTCGGACTATACTCCAAAATGTTTCGTTCTCAAAGTAACTTTGTGCACAAAATTAATTATTTCTATTCCTCTGAATAAGCATATTTGCTATGTTCTTAAGTGTATTGTTTTTAATAGTTCAGAAAAAAAGTTGCCAGATAAGTTTATGGTGTGTCAGTGGCAAGTCGTCTTCGAAAACAGATTGTCACCGTCCATGACTCCCCTCAATCGTATCGCTCATTGCAGAAAAAAGTCTGCAAAAATTTTCTCAGGTCATAATTATAGAAAAAAAACATTTTCCTCAAGATAGTAATAAAGCTAAAACCGTATTAATTGAATGTTTGGCTGAACTATGTAAAGTTTTCTGGTAGCCTATATGGATGATCCTTTTCGTGAGGTACAAAATGGGTTGTTCAAATTCATTTTTCTGCCTCTGATGGAACAGCAACGCAAAATGGAACAACACATAAATAAAAGCTTGATATGTAATCTTATACAAGTTTTATATTTCTGGGCATAATTCAGAAATGAATTATGCTGTTGAAGAGGTCCTGTTATGAGTGTTGGGTACAGCATTTTACGAACTGTCTTTTGAAAAGAAACACAAATCAAATCATTAATAATTGACAACAATAAAATATTCAGAGGATAAGTCTTAATGGATCATCCGTTCGATTCTCTAGAAATATTTTCCAGGTTGTTCACGCATGTTTTAACTAATGATATATCAACTAACATTTGCGCATGATATTTTGTACCAATCGTGAGCCTATTATTTATCAATTATGGCAATATAGTGAACTTCAACATATTTATGTGCCGAAATCGTACTTTTGTCAATTACTATAAGCTTAATGCAGCATATCAAATGGAAATAGACATGTGTAGAAAAATATTTTCATATATTATTCCAATTCTGATAAAAATTTTCCCCGCTTACTTGAAAATCTTTGTCTTAATTCCAAATTAATCAGATGTTGATTTTTGCCTTGATCGAATTTAACATTTTTAACACGAAAGCAAACGCCTGGTGTAACAAGTTCTTCTTCCTCATCAGCATATTCAGATAAGGAACTGAGATCGGCAATAAAAGCAAAAAATACGTCCATGATAAATAAAGTATTTCCAAACTCTTCGGCTTTTTTACGGTTTCGACTACAAGATGTATATGCTTGAAATGATCGATATTCATATTTATGTTTGGCCATTTCTTCATAAGCAGCGATCTGTTCAGGTTCCAAATTGGCACCTCGGTAAAGTGTCTTTTCGATTGTCGCTTTCGTATTATATGGATCATCCCAAAGCAATAAACAAAACGGACCCAGTGTACCAACTTTACTTCGCCATACTTCTTCATGATTTTTATCTCCTATTAATCTCATGGTTGCATTTATGGTTTTGTACAGGAAACTTTCCAAGGTGTACAAGTAAGCACAGCATTGCCATACTTCTTTCATTTTTTTATTCTTTTTCTCTAATAGCACTTCAGCCAATTTCTCGGCTTCACATTGCTTCCGAATATGTATCGCCTCTATAATAATACCTTGCGCAGCCTTTTCGACAAGCATCGGTATCAGCTGTGGGTTCTTGGAAGGTAATTGATCTGGTTGAAGACCCAAGTCTCTTCTAACTTCTATTATAAACGGCGATACCCAACCATATTCTCCGCTGAATGAACGTCCTGTCGCAACAGGAAGATCCATAAAACGTTCTTCTCGTAAATGTTTGTCGTCCCTCTTACGCTGCACTCGTTTTATAGGTCTTTGCTTGTTCCTATCAATATTAGATATTTGAAGGTTTTGTTTGAAATCAATGTAATAATCATCTAGGATGGCTTGTGATTGTTTAGTTGAATATGCGCCTTCGATTATTAGAATTTCTAGATCGGAATAATGACTCCATTCGACTGGCTCCGATTCTGACCATGGATTTGGATTTGATTGCCACATCCATTCAATATTTTTTAAAGTATGCGATGCCGAAACTGCTGCCTGACCCATAATTATCAATTATTTTCTTTTGTTATGGATGATACAAATACTGCAATGCTCAATTATTTTATTATCTAAAATATGGAAAATCGATGATAATACTATGATTTAAGAAATTTTTGTTTGATAGTCAATATTGAGAAATTTAACTCTCATTTCGTATTGAAATGAGGGCCTGCAGAATTCAGAATTTTGTTATTTCGTACATAGCGAAAAAGTAGCAAAATATAAGCATACGCACTACCATAAGTGGAAAATAGAATTCTATCGGTAGAAGCAGAATTATAACCAACTATCAGTATAAAAATACGAAACAAAGATAACTAGAATGAATTCTTATCGAGAAGTTAAAAAGACCAGCAGGATATAAAATAGAATTCTATCGGTAGAAGTAAAATACAACGCTCAAATGCTTATTTAAAAATGAAAGGTTTTGAGTGATTTATTGTAGGCAACTGTTGAGGAGTATGCTTGTAAAAAGATGTTGATATAATGATGATTGTTTGTTCATCTCTAGATTTCGTTTTTTAATCATGCATGTGTAGAGAAGAAATTGATACAAATCGAAGATAGTTGATCATGATTACATCATGAGACGAGAGAAAAGAAGAAACATTTACATTGGCATGTATATCAAACATGGAACAATATCATGCATTATTGAGAATGAAATATTTTGTACGCGCTAAAGTCAGGATTGTAGAATTAAACAAGCTATTTAATGAGCAAGTTGTTTCGTATCTTTGTAATTTCATTCATTTCTTTTTAATAAGACTACATATAGCTTATCTTACAAAAACACTTAAACAGTTATACAAACAGCTTTTTATATTATCAATAGCTTGGAAAGTTGCCTTCGAATTGACGCACTATGTCCTGCCAGTCTGTTTTTGAATCAGGAAGAGTCGTTCGCAGAACATTGTTGTGTATAAATTTCACGTTAACCAGTTACATCAGTAAGTTTGAAATAAATTAGAAGTGTCGATGTTTTCAATTAAACTAGATGTTTTAGATTCCCTTAATTTCGTATAAAATCTATCCTCTATCCATAAAATTTATGAAAACAACTTAAATCCTCCGAATTTGTGCCAAGCGAACAACATATCCAACGCATTTGTTTACACAAAACATATTCCATTACCCTAAAATTCTATAGAATTCTAAGCAGAATTCAAACAAGCTACCATAGAATTCTAATATCACATGAAGAGCAAAAGTGATATATTTTAATCGTGCCAATATAGAATTCTATAGAATTCTATTCTATAAGCATTGATTTATTTAAAAATATTATAAGTTTACAGAATTCTGAATTCTGCTGCGTAGGCATTATGCAACTGCTGATTGAAATACGCAAATACGCTAACCGATGGTAGCATGAATTAGTCGACATTGTGGACATTCACGACTACCTTTTAACAAAGAGAGAATATGCTTCTATTAGTAGAATGTTGAATAACTTTTCATAGCATCTTATATCAATTCAGATTTGAACAGTATTCAACAGACATGTATATAATGTAAAATATGATGATAAAAACTGAGAGATTCATTCAAATGAATATACTTGGTCTGAATTTTGAAGATATAGGGTAAATGTGTGACTGTGATATACTTGCTGGCGATGAATACATATGGAGTTGACGGTTTGGATGCAAAAATTCTGTCATACTTTAAACTATAGAGCGTCTTGCTTTGGAACCTACTTGAGGGCGAGGTTGAGTGTAGGCAATAGAATACGTATTGGAAAGGAGGTCTGTTTGAATACACGAATGCAAGATTATTCTGTCATTGCGTATTCGGCCAAAAATTGAAAGAAACTAATCTTTGATGAACCGATAGACCTCATAGAGTTCTGATGAGGAATAAAATTCTGAGTGTTATATTGTCAAACAGGTGTCTCAGACAAATTTTTGTAAGTTTTATTTATAAATCGAGGTTGAAAACGGTATTTTTTTAAATAATCTTTTAGGGAGTTGAGCGAAAATAACATTTTCTAATTTCTGAAACAAAAACAGTTTCGTCTTCGAATTCACGTAATCATATCATGACACCAATCAATAATAATGAATGTAAGAATTTTTTTCTAAAAATTTCATTCGATTTTACCACAACATCTTTCGATACAAAAAGCTTCGGTTAAGAGTAAGTCTTCATCATGTGAATGGTGGAGGCGGTGGCGAGGGGGGGTAGTACCAGTAATGAAGAAATTAACGTCGTTTACGATAGTCGTAACGCTCGACCTGGGATTGATGAGTGGCATGAGGCTTCTTCTTTCAATGTATTAGAACTCAAATGGAAACAACATCAAAGAAAGAATGAACGACACGGATATTTTTCTTCTTCTTTAAATACTCTTTGCTTTAACGTTCGTGGTCTCGATCTACGATGGGGAGAAGTCTGCCTCTTGGTCAAACAGCATCTTTTCGATATTTTAGTCTTAGGCGAAGTTGGACGTGTTGATTTTGCCCTAATGAGTGCTGCACTATCTAACCATAATGTATTCTATCAAAGTGGTGAAAATGCACATGGTGGTGTGCTGGTCATGATGCGTAAAGATATTTCTACTGTTAGAGTATTTTGTTCATTACCAAGCATTTGTGCACTCGATCTTCAATTCGACCAGACACTCAGACTCATAGCTATGTATGCTCCAGAGAGTAAAACACGGAATTGGACAGACCTCACCCCACTAGCTACCAATTTTTGTATGATCTTGGGTGATTTTAATATTGATATTGAACAAGATGGCGAAAAAGCAGATAGACTTCTCAAATGGATGGATTCATGTTACCATGGACAACAATTCAAGCTTATGAATGTGATACTACTAGTGATCATAACCCTCTATTAGGTGTACTGGTTAGTGATAAAACCTCCGCAGACGAAGGATCCAGAACAATATGGCCTGTTTTCACTCTAATTTTATCTTACATATTTGATTATTGGGGAAAAGAATGGAACACAGAGTCTTATGATATAACTTATGAGAGATTTATCTCTTTTCTTACATTACTCAAGACCAGATGTCAACAACATTTTAAGCTTAACCATGCTAGACCGTCTATTCCACAGAACCATGTGAAACTACTGGCTCAGAGCCGCTCGTTAGCATTCAAAGCGAAGCGGAAGGGTGATATTGAACTACGGAAAGAAGCTCGTCGTCTACGTAACTTAGCACGCTTCGAGTTAAAAAAATTTCAAAAAGAACAATTAGCCAAACAGTTAAAAGAAAGGCATCTGTCAGGTGAAACATCTCGGCTGTTCTGGGGTAAAACAAAAAGACATTTTCATCTGGTATCTTCATCATTGAGGAGATTCTTGCCCCCATGTGAAGAAATTATAAAAGACTCCCAAATAATGACCAACATGACAGCTGATCATTATGAAAGATTATTTGAAGCACCCGTAGTGATACGTCCACACCCGTATGTCGATGGTCCTCCAGTACAATGGAAAAATGCTGCTGAACCTATACCGACGGTTACTTATCCAGAAATAGTAAATATTTTACGTTCAAGAAAGAAAGAAAAGTGTCTTGACATTCATGGACTTTCACCATTTATACTTGATAAAATACCTCAAAACTATTGGCATCTACTGGTACAACTACACAACTATTCATTTACTGAAGGATACATTTTAAAGAAGTTTAAAGAAGTTAGAATGATATTTCTAGCAAAGAAAAATGCGGTGTGCTTACCGGATCAAACTAGATCAATCTCTCTGCTCGATTCGTTTCTGAAAGTACAAGAAAAATTATTTCATAATCGATTTTTAAAAATCTTAAATGACCATGGTATTTTACCAGATAACCAATCGGGATTTCGTGCTGGATTTAGATTACAAACACGTGTACTGCTGCTCATCGAACAGTTATGATTCGAATGATGTCTTGGGAAGCTTGCAAGAATAGAAATTCCAACAGCCTTCATCAATTTGATTCGAACTTGACTTAGTGATCGTAATACAGTGATTGAGGTGTATGGCAGCCCTTCAAGATGGATCAAAATTAATCGTGGTGGTCCCCAAGGCTCTAGTGTTACACCGACGTAATTTATTACATACCATAGTCATATGGCTGATTTTATACCAGGTGCAATGTTCTTCTTCTTTGCAGATGATCTTGCAGCAGTTCTAACCGGTCAAATAGGAATCAGATTTAAAGATCAATGCATAGATGTGGAACGCCACTTATATACTTTGTCTGAGCAACTTGAATTCTATGCAATACTAGCTGTACAACCGATTAATTATTCTAAAACACAAGTCATGTTCTCAGCATGAGCAGTTAGTTATCCGAATTATCTACCTCAAGTGCATTATGGTGACCACAAAGTGGAATGGATCACCTCACTTAAGTACTTGATGTATTGGCTTTCGACGAGAGCTAGGTTGGGGAAAGATCATTAACAAGACGAAGCTCATCGTTCATCAACGAACTGCCTTAGTGAACTCTTTCAGAATAAGTGGCACATCATCTACACATCGCAGACGTGTTTTCTTTTCTACATTCGTTCTACCACATTTCACATGGCTATTTTGGATATTCCCATTATTTGATGAATCACAGCGTACAAGTCTTGATCATCTGTATTTCAATCTTTTAAAACGTGCATGTCGTTGTCAGTGTTGGAAGGATTTAATATTTTCATCAATCTATAATGAAAAACATCTAGATGATCATTGTTATGCATACTAGGGAAAATATTTAAAAGCTCTGGATAAGTCCAAAGATGATTATTTATTATGGGAACAATCCGAACTGAACGAATATACACAGATCCATATGGCAAGAGGGTGACAGTTCGATCTGTTACCTTAGAAGACCAAACAGATTCGTATCAGAGAGGAATGTTCTAGAACAAGCAATAACTTGGATCGCAACTCATGGGACATCATATTCAATCATCCACTACGGTGATGAAAATCTTCTTTGTCTCCACAGTTCTCTGGTACCCACTGAAAAATGTTCACTGATTTCAATCAAATTATTCTGCAACAAAATCAAAATTAAAATCGATTGATAATTTTGATTATCGCTGATTATGACTTAACCATTATTTGATATTATTAATTCTCCAATGTCTAATTTTTTGATTAAAAAAACTTATTTTCCAGTAAAATCGAGATTGTAAATCGATTAATAATTTTGATTTTGCTGCAAAATAATCAATTTTAATCAAAAACTTAGACATGGGATAGGTAATAATATTAAATAATGGTCAAGTCATAATCAACGATAATAAAAATTATCAATCGATTTTAATTTTGATTTTGTTGCAGAATAATTTGATTGAAATCAGTGAACATTTTTCAGTGAGTAGGGTGTGGGTGTGGGTGAAGAAAACAAAGGCACCCACACTATTTTGTAGAAAAAAACAGTCGTTGAAATTGAAATGACGTACTGTGTGCAAATGCTTGTGCAAATAGTATTACTTGGTAGAAGCACACAGATCGCCTTTTTTTTTATTTCATCCTTCTCAACAAGGTGATGTCGAAAAATATTCATTTTCGTTCTTGCAGATCCTGATGTCAACCAAGAAGCTAGTATGTGAAATTTTAT